AAAAGGGGCGCCTATGAACACAGCACGCTTGGCTTCAAACTGCTGATTGATGCAGGGCGCTCTTGGAGCCGGTCAGCTCAACGATCATCTCCGCGAGCTCCTGCGTTACCGTGGGAGGCACATCAAAAACCGATGATACCCAATGACCACAGCTAACTCAGCAAAGCAACGACAAGTCAGAGCATTCTGCTTTCTTCATACAGTCCAACTTCAAATGTCCAGTGTTGGTTTGTTGTTTTCCACCACACATATACCCTGCACGATTTCCCTACCATGCAGGGTCATGAGTCATAAGGGTCAACGGTGATGTAGCTAAATGAGTTCGTCCAGTTCGCCAGCCTTGACGGTGAACTCATTCGGGTTTCCAATGTTGACCGGCCCAATGGTCTTCTCCTGACATGTGACTGCGGGGATGATGGGTGTAAAACATGGAGTCAGTTTTGCTCCCGAACGTTGGGCATCTGTATGAGTCGTGCGTGACTGCGGTCGCTTGCCTGATTCATCAATCGGATGAGGCCATCCACTGTGTCGTCCACAAAGCCGAAGGATCGAGTTTGTGAACCATCGCCGTAGATAGTAATGTCCTGAAACCAATCTACGGACTGAGCACAAGCCCCGCGGCTTCCAAGAATCTCTATCCGTAAGCTGATCGTGCTCCTCATCGTGGAGCGCCTGCAGAATGAAATTGCTCACCACCCGGCCATCGTAGGGGTGCATGCCTCAAGACTAGGCCACAGACTGTCTGGTGGGTTCGAGTCTCTGCGTGGGAGGTCAGCGTGTGAGGGTCTGAAATGCACGTGCCAAACTAATTCTTATGTAAAGGCTGTGAGCAGCTCAAGTCTTGCCCTTTGCATGCCACGACACCTGGACCATAAGTGTTGAAAATTCGGGCAACGCGGATGTCCACGTTGTTGCTGCGCAGGTAGTCGAAAGCCAATGTCTCTGCTACTCGCTTGCCCTCATCATAGCAGGACCTGAAGCTCAAAAGGTGGACAGGTTTGAGGAGTGCCTGATACTCTCCTGGCCAGCACTCTACATAGATGCGGTCGTGTCAAGATGTGTATGTGTGTACGAAGGCAAGGTAAACAGCACAAAGTGCTGGCAGTTACGCCTCCCCAGTTTGGCTGAACAAGGCCCTTGTTCGCTTATAGCAATCAGATACTTGGGGATTCAATGGTCACTCGGATGGCTTGCGGTTTACATTGGTTTACATTGGTTTGGAAACACGAGCCGTGAACACGACAAGCTGCAAAAGACGGAAAAGCCAAAGCCAGACCAGTGTGCCTCACGCGCAGGTTTGCAGGCCAGGCACCGAACACCAATGGTGTTCACATGTCCCCAGTACTCCTCCGCTTGCGGTGTGACCTGGGCCATTCACACCCTGAATGGAGACGTCCGCATGCCTAGCCAAAGCCTACGTGTAGCCCTGAGGAACAAGCCAGGGAGAGTTGGCAAAGGCAGACTTGGGGGTGGACATGTGCTACAGCGCGAAAAACACTCTTCGGCTCGAGAGACAGAACCACTACACACACACAGAAGCACAAGCTTAGCACCGTGCCCCGCCTCCGGGTCTCCATAGATCTCGCTGGTGGACGCTTGCAGAATGCGGGCTTTGACCCGCTTGGCCAAACCCATCATGTGGATGGTGCCCAAGACCGAAACCTGAACAAATTGATTGAATGCCTTCAAAGAACTTTGACTCAGCACGACAAATGTGGCCTTTGTCGTCTTGATCGGGTTCCACTGATAGTGCACAGGTGAGGCTGGACACGCCATGTTGTATATCATGTCCTTGGTTTCAAGCAGACCCTTGGCAACAGGCAGCCGGTTGGAATTGTAGCGGGTGGAAACAAAAGCAACAATCGACATATTTCTATTTATTGGAGCCTACAATCAAAACTGAAAGCAAGCAGCACAGTAGCTCGACAAACCAAACTTTGAATTCAAGTGGTCCTCAAGCATGTTCATGGTGACAAAGCGCATTGGTCGGCAATCATGATGAATGCGTGAATGTGTGTCTCCGTATCTCGCCCGTGTGTGTCTATCTGTGTCTCGTGTCTGTGCGCGTCTCCGCGCCGAGCAGCTTACTTGTTGCCAAGGCTCGCACTCACAGAAAAATGGCTCCGTCACATCATGCCGAATGAATTCAAAGCGCGGATGGCCCATGAGATCTGCGATGCCTCGCGCTCGAAAGCAGGTTTTTGGTAGGAGCTCCGTGTCCGCTTGGCATTGTGCTTGCAAACGAGTATGAGGCTGTGTCTGCAACAGCCAAAAACAGCCAACTAGAGTCTAGAGCATGCCACACTTTGCAGCAAGGAGCCAGATCGCGTGGAGGTGAAAAAGTTGTCCATGCACATTACTTCGTGACCCTCTGCCAGAAGACGACGGCAGATATGAGAGCCTGCCCAGGTCGGTCTCTTGCCCCAACAAAGTCGTTCGTGCATGAGAAAGCGGCATACAGAAGCGAGGACTCCAACGAGGTCCTTCCCAAGCTGTTTACATCTGAACAGAAATCCTTTGAGCCCAGGGACCGAGAAATCCGGCGCCGCCAGTGACCAGGACACGTTTGAACTGCGGCGGCTTCTCAGGCTCCTGAGGCTTCTCTCAAGGCCGGGGCTCTACATGGGCCAAATCTGGTGCAGCACGCTGTCCTGCCGGCATCCAGCAGGATACCTCTTCGCATCCTGGCCACGCAACATCAACACACAGCACAACAGTCCAAGCAAGCCACTGATTCATGTTCCTTAGACATCTTAGATGCTTTCCATAGCTCGAAAGGCAACCCTTCGGGACAGGGGCGCGCCGCGCCTTGCTGCGCTGCACCGCCAGCGCCAGCGGCACAGCCGCCACCGGGCCCAAGCGCACAAAGCGACTCCACAGCGACATGGCAGCTGTCTCCAAGTTTGCCCGCGAAACTGCGTCTGAGGACTCCAACCACGTGGACTTCCCGCATATGCTCCCTGTTTGCGAAAAGCAATGAGCAAGTCGGCTGCGGAATGCGGCGCCCAGTGCTGAGTTCTGCAAGGGCCCACTAAGTACAGACGCTACACGCTAGCCACAGTGGGGTAAATTCACGGTCAATACTTTGTCCTCGCAGTCAAGCAGAGGACACCCGCCTGGGTGGCATTGGAACTCATCCCACGAGCCTCAGCGCGTCCACGGCGACAAGCCCAACTCTCGGTGGACAAGGGGTCGCTACCTAATTTTTCTGGCGGTCTAGATCCTTGACCATGCTTCTCAAGGAGCATGCCAAGGGCCAGTGCGCCTTGCTCGGACCCAACATAAACACAGCTATGAAGTCGATGCGTTTGCTAGTGCCTTCCAGCCCCTGTCACTGTACAAATCCAAGGCCTCGGCTCGCGAACTCGATGGAGAGCTGAGGATGGCTAAGTTTGATCTCGCCAGCGAACAAGACACCAGAGCAGTTGCCGAACTGCTTGGCTACCGGCTCGCTCAGGTGATCACATTGCCACTCGGTCCCCTACTGCCCTATCAATCACCACAGAATGCCGGATAAAGTGATCGGCATTTGCATGGCGCCTGCGCAAATGACGAGCTCCGCTCAAACCGATCCCTTCAAAATAGGTCATATCCTGTTTGTGTCTGTTGCTGCTAACCAAGATCACTCTGCGATTTTTTCTCGCTCCAATTGCAGTCCTAAAGGCTGAATTCACGAGAGGCTGATTATTGCACGACAAAACACAATCTGGAGTCTTGCATGAGACCGTCACGGTTTGAGCTACTCTGCTGTTGCAGCATCTATGTGTGCGTGTGTTATCTGTATCTGTGTCTGTGGGTGTGAACGCCCCGTCCGTGCGTGAATGCGGGCATACTTGAAGCATGTAAAAAGTTGATCATTGGTTTGAACTCAGCTAGCCTCTACAGACCGACTTGTCATGGTCAAAGATATACTCCATGTTGCTGCTGTTGTGAGACGAGTTGCGCAAATGAGCTCGAAAGCATTCGCTGTTCTGAGCTCACTTGACCTGGCAATGTCACCAATCAGGTCAGCACAGAAGCGAATATGGCAAGCCCGTGACTGTCACAGGCAACTCCTGCTCCCCCCTCACCAGCAAGCTACTGCAAGACGAGTCTCGATGTAAAAATGCGGGCAATTGTGCAAACTCGGAGCCAGCTGTTACGTCTGTTCCAAGCTCAATTCAACTTGAGATCCCGTTCCGTTCAACCTCCATCTTCTGAAAGGCTCAGAATGCAAGAGACCGCAGCCTCAACTTTGCAAATGTGGATGTGCTGGTCGACCTCAGTGCTTCAATCCCTATGAGACTGCACTGCAGGACATCCCAGGCATGTCCCACTGAGTTTTCAGCCTCACTGGTGGTAAAATCGGCCTTCAATTGCTGCCTTCCTGGGGGAAGCGTTATGCAAGTCGGAAATACTCGCATTGTCCAGCTGTGAAGCTCAAGCTTGATTCCTTCGAGCAAACTAGTTTTGCGTACCGAAAGCCGAGCATCTCATGCGACTGTTGAGGATGGTGTGGAAGAGGTAGGAGGAAGGTTGGTCCCTCAGCTGGCGCCGCTTTGGATTCTATGGACACGTTCCGCGCAATGCACAGAGTGCGCCTGACACATTTGGGCAGGGTCAGAATCCGCAAAACGGAGGCATGTCGAAAATGAATTTCTTGGATGCCCCGAAGCTGCCGGGAAAGCTGCAGTACGCTTGAAGGCAAACATCCAACAGAACCTGCATTTCCGAAGTTCCGCCACTGTTATATAGCACATCTTCCTGGACTGCAAGTGTGAAACGACTCCGCTTCTCTGCAGCCCAGGTCACCAGTGGTTGTGGAAGAGGCGCAAAGAGTCCAGGTTGCTCTTCTGCAGCGAGTCTCCCAACAAACTCAGGGCCTAACAGCGCGGCCACAGCTGGGAAAAACCAGCAATGCTCCACCTGTGGGTATTCAATCGGAAGCCTTGCAATGGTTACCCAAATTGCTGATTGGAAGGTTCTTGACCATCCTTGTCAACTAGCTGATTTGCGGCACGTGGCATGAATCGTCAGCCCGCGTCTTTCCTGAGTTTGACAATAAGCTTGGGTGGTAGCCTTGGATATTTGACTGACGCTTGCCAAATCTTGCCAAAAACCCCAGCACAACGTTTCCATATAATTTATGCGAATGTCTGTATATATACATGTATATAATGTATATTATATACATGTATATACATTATATACGTAATGTACTATATATATAATAAGACATTCATTCGACAGCCTGAAAGGGATATCCCTGCCTGGCAGCAAAGCTCATTGTGGTTAAGATCCTCGCAAGCGTCGGAGGTGTTGGGTCAGAGGATATGACTCATTTCTGATGCCGTCAAATGCGCGATCTCTCCCCCAGATTGTTGTTCCCCTAGTCGCCTCAACCGGGAACACCTGGCAGCTTCTTGGGCTCCCGCCAAGTGCTGCAGCTTGCTGTTGTGGGTAAGGCCCTAGCAGCGATTGTCTTAAATCTGCATCTCTGAGATTTTTCTCACTGGATCAACCTCTACCAAAGTAGCTTTGTTGAGCTCAGTCTCCGGCCTCTGCAATCGCTCTGGCGCCCTCTACCTGGCAAATGGACTCAGCCTTTCGTGGAAGCCGGATAGCCTGTCTCTGACTGCCTTTCAGCCTTGGGACCAAAAGCCTCTCTAGACCTTTCAGGAAGCTACAAGTTCACAAAGTCACTTGACTTCTCGAGCAAATGCCAATACTGCTTATGCCACCTCCAAAAGACATGTCAGTGCCGCGTTGTCCTTCTCTCCGATACGATTGCAGGAGAGATTCAACTGCCAGGAGGCAGTGGAACAAGCAGAGTCTGCCAAAAAACATCCAACCCTGTAAACAAGTCACAGCCTGGATGGAACAATGCGCACTATGAAGCTTGGCAAATGCAGTAGGTGTCCCACGGAAACCAGTTCGCTACCATGCGCCAGAAGCGTTCCCAGGCTGTACCTCAGTCGTGGGTAACCTGTGAGTGCCAAGGTGGTGAGGAGCGAGCCTGGTGTCTTCCCCCTGTTCCAACACTAGGAAGAAGCGTGCGGTCGTCAAGACCAGGAAAACTCAATGAGGGTCTCCCTGCGTCCCTGGAAATGGCATGTCATTCCTGTGTGGGCGCACGCAGCTTCTGCGCCGAGCTCATTGCACCTGCACAAGGATTTCCGAATGTTCGACCGGTTCAGACGAAAACGCGTGAATTGGTTGTCAGCCCATCCCTGGCACCAGGCCTAAGATCGAGAACGCGGAGCACCTGGTGAAAAAGCGGAGAGAACTTAGCCCCTGCTGACCTTTGTGGATTCAACGTGAGGCTCCCGATCACAGACTCAAACAAGAGTCTCTAGCACCTTGTTCTCCAGCAAAAAGTCCACGAGCTGCCGAGCGCCGTCATCTCGCATCCTAGCGCTCAAGATGTCTTGCTGGTGGCTCTCTCGCTGTGAACAGGTTATTTCCATGGCCACTCCGTCCTTTGCTTCCCAAGGTAGAGCTCAGTGATGGTGGTGTTGTTCCGCAGCATTTTCCCCAGGTGCACTGTGTGGTCTTCCTGAACATCTGCTGAACTGTCCAAATGAATCTACCGCACGTCATGCTTGCGTTGTCTTCCGATATTCACAAGCAAGCATGTGTTTTGTTGATTATTATTTATAATAATAATAATAATAATAAAAAGCAGCTTGGAACCCTTCCAGAACTGCGCTCCGAACTCCGGAGTCTATCTGAGAGACGCCATAGCTTTCAGTCGGGGAACAACAACTTTGAGCACTCTCTCCGGCATTCGGATCGTGCCTGCAGGGTGAAAATGCGCGGGTTCTGAACGTCCAACACCTGCCCGCAGTGTGCCGAATCCTAGGGGTCGCCGCCTCGTTGACTGCCGATCTATGAAACAAGCCAACAACTGCAAGGAAACTAAATACTGCACCCAACCAAGCCAGTTCTAACCTTGTCGCCATTGAAATCACCATGACCCCCAGCCCCATGCACCTTCAGCTGCGAGGGGTGTCTTCTCAGAACCGCTGCCAGGGCGACAAGGACATCCTTGCGAACAGCTCATGGATGGGCATCGCACGCAGCCAATGGAGCGCCATCCAAATGGGATAGTGGGCTGCGTCGGCACATCGGCCAACCGAAGTGTACAAAAACAATCATCAGCTTGACACGGACTGAAAGCCATGCGCCATCAAAACACGCCATTCGTTCCTAATGCTGTCCCTTTCTCAGATCTGGAGCAAGCTGAAAAACTACTTGCGAGCAGCTAGCAGAAACAACCGTCCAGCGAACCCAACTGATTCCTTGCAAGTGCGTTTGCCTTGAACGCAGCCAAGCATCAATGTCCGATTTGGTGTCCCCCATCAGGAGCTGGCACGACATGTTGCCACCAAAAAAGCAGACCAAAAGCCGTGCGGGGAGTGTTTCATATGAGTCCGGAAGGCAGCCTCGAGTAGCTCGGGCGATTTCTGGAGCAAAGACACCACCCTGGCGGGGTTCATACAAGCGACGAACCCACCAAATCTGTGTGGTCGCCTTGTCCTACAAGCCGCCAAGACAGCCATCACTGCACATGGCCCGTTGTAGCTGCCCAAGTTATGTGTGCCATAGTCCAAACTCCTGTCATGGTGTCCTTAATGGGAATCATGCTAAGCGTTTTTCAGCTATTAGGATTCTGACTTCATGCTGAATGACAACCCGAAGTAAAGGGGTGCCTTCACCATGGCACATATGACAGACTTGTGCGCAAATCCAGCCAGCGAGTCAGGAGGCCACCCTCCTTTCCAAGCCTCACCATGCACAAAAATGGCTCGGATGCGCCAGTAGACAAACAGGTTTGATTCCTTCCTCCGACATCCAATCAACCGACAAGAACTCGGAATAAGTGCAAGGCGGGTTCATGGAGATGTCGAAACGCCGCAGGGATCGAGTATTCCTGGCACAAAAAGCTCATAGGCCCGGGAGCAACATCCGCCAGGAGTTGACAGCAAACCGCACAAACACCCCAACTTTATGTTCAGCATCATACAAACTGGCAATTGAGCACAAACTTTTGGTTGCAGGCTGAGGTGCAGCCTCAGGAAAGCAAGTGCATTGTTTGCCTGCTTGAATGAGCCTTCATCCACGCTACACTGAACGCAGGGAGTTGCTGCTCATTTGCGAGATTGATTGATGGATGCCATTGATTGCGCTTACGAGGACATGTTCCAAACGGAAGCTACAAAGAAACCCCGAGGCCAACCAAGGCCGACTGAAAAACCAGGGCCGACCCCAACTCCTCCACGCCTGAGCGCACCACAGAGCGCCTCAGCACCCTCCGGGCCGATGTCATTGGAGCGGAGCTGCAGAGAGCTGAGGGCGGAGGCCTTCAACCGTCAGAACTCAAGCCAAGGCCAACCAAAGCTGTGTGCATGTCATGCACAATGCCTTCCATTGTTCATCCAAACTGGATGCCTATTGCACAAGTACTACATAAAGGCGGCAGGTTTACCACAATGAGGTCTCTGAAGTCCAGAACAGCTCAACAGCTCGGGTCATCTCGGCGCCCCTGCACGCGGACCAGGACCCATCAAGGAGGCCAGCTGCTTGGCACCCTCATCGCCCAGCAGGTTGTACCTGCCAACGGCGGCCCGGCGGACCGCGGAATGGAAGAAGCTCACAGCAAGCGCACGACAAGTCCAAGCGGCAAAGGAAGGGAGTCACCACGTAGAAAACCTGACATGCCAATATGCCGGCACATCTGGTGGACAGAATTCTGCTGAGTCAAATGGCCATGTCCACAAAGCAGGGCTGGCGAAATAGTTAAATTGTCACGTCCCTTCCCGTGGCCGTCCTTCGAGAAGACCAGCATGTCCTGGGCACATGTTTTCATCCCCTATGGCTTGGGTGATTGACCTGCTGTGACTACTTTTCAGCTGCTGTGGAGCATCCAAGGTTGATACTCTTATACAATTGCCACGACCCTCAACTTGGCAGAGGACTATCAGTCTGTCTTCGTGGCTTGCAGCCAGCATGTGCTGGGGCTCTCCTCATCCCCTAGCCGACTTGTGAAGACTCGCTTGTCGTTCCCCGGCGCCTGCGAGCGTGGTTTGCATCATCATGCAAGGCCAGCATAGTGCTTCATAGCACAAGCAAAATGGCAAAGGAAACCACCCAGGAGCAATGAGATGAAATTTCCCTCCCTCCGGTGCAGACCGCATTTTGGACTGCCACGTTTGAATATAGACCGCTCTGATTTTCAGAACGTTGGTGGCTCCTACAACAGTGAGACGCACGTAGTCACTTCCAGTGCCGCGCATTGACCTGTCAGCGTCACACCACTTCTCGTGGGTCTCGACGCCTCGGAGCGGCAACAATCGAGGCGATGTCCTCCCAATTCTCCGCCTGTCACTAGCCCAAGAACCCATGGCAATGACTCACGTCTTTCGATCCTTCAAGCCGGCTGATTCATTCAGCGCCGAAAACCGGAGCATCCTGGGTGCCTGGCTTGGGCTTCCCAAAGAGCGCCCTCTTCCACCACAAGGAGGTGTCCATCTTCCTGTGGCCTCAGCGGCACCATGTGTGCCGCAACTCGGCATCTATCGGTCCCAGCCTCGGGGCACACGCTCCTGCAAAGCGAACATGTGCCACTCGTGTGCGGTATGTCTTCCCGTGTTCAGCCAGCCTCCCGGTCCGCCTCCTGGTTCGCCTGCGGCATGGACCTTGCACAAACGTTCGATCTCGTACAGGACATGCGCCCACACACCAAGAAAGAGAGAGAGAGAGAGAGACACGTGCAAAGCTTGCTAGATGAGGTATGCGCTTTCAAATATGCCTATATCAAGTGTGTGTGAAGGTCTCTGCACATTAGCGAAAGACGACGAATCGCCTTGCCTTGCATTGAGCCGCCGGTCTTTGTAGGCGTGGACATCAGACCAAATACCTTCGGCGGTGAACGCTCTCTCTCTCTCTCTCTCTCTCTTTCTCTCGCTCTGACTCTAATAAAACTTTCCGCCGCCTCAAGTTGAGAAATAATCTGCAAAATCAACGTCTGGTGACAGCTGCCTCTTGCTGAAACAACAGAGGGAAATTGCACTTCTGGGCTTCTGGGTGCAAAGGGCTGTCAGGAGGCATGCTGCCATGCTGCGGCTGTCTTCCTCTTCATTCTCGTCTTGGAGGCCGAAGAAATCCATGACATCATCCATCTGGCGAAAATAATAATAATAATAAATTCGCCTCGGCCCCAAAGGGGCCAAGGGCGCTCAGATCTCTTCTCCAAAGAGAATCTTCGCTTTTCCCCTCCCCCAACCCCCTCCCCGACCAAAATTTTGCCGGGCCGCCCCCCCCAACCCATGTCGGCTGGACCCAAAATCCTGTCCGGCGGGCCTTGAAATTTTCGGGGTTCGTCGGCGTCCAGCTCCATGGGTCCATTTTTGTCGAAAATGTGCTGACAATTGCTAAAAAAATGCTTTTTTGTCCTGAAAAGCATGACCTCCTGGTGGCCAGGCTTGCCTGACGTGTCTGAGACTAGGCTCAGGCCCAGCCCAAAGCCCACCAGCCTCAGGCCCAAGCTTCAGGCCTACCCCAAGTCATCCAGCAAGCCCAGCCCAGCCAGGCCGGCCCCAAGGTCAGGTTTGTCTAACGTGTCTGAGACTGGCCTCAGGCCAACGGTGTCTGAAACTGGTCTCAAGCTATGCCAGCCACCAAGCCCGTCTGACGTGGCCCAGCCCTCAGTCCGGCTGCCCAAGCAACTCAGCCCAGGCTGGCCAGACCTTGACCTCCTGCTCGCGTCTGGCCCCAAATCAGCCAGCAGGCCCCGTCTCAAAGTTTGCCAGCCTGAGACTAGCCTCAGGCCCAGTCCCTCAGCCCGCCTGCTGGCGTGTCTGCGACTGGCCTCAGGCCCAGCCCAGCCAACTCGCCACCCAGCCTCAGGCCCAAGTGTGTATGAAACAGGCCTTGCCCATCCAGCAACCCGCCCAAGCACAGCTCAGCCCAGCCCGCCCAGCCCAAGTTCCAGGCACAACCAGCAGCCTGGTCCGGCTGCCCGGCAGCCAGCAACCCACCCATGGCTTCGCAGCCTTGTGGCTGAGACTAGCTTCAGGCCCAGCCCAAAAGCCTGCCCAGCCCAGGCCCCAGCGCATCTCAGAGCATGCCAGCCACTACCAGCCCCCAACTCCCAGACCAGCAGGCTCAGCCCAGTGTGGTTTGTCTAACGTGTCTGAGACTGGCCTCAGGCCAACGACCAGTCTGAGACTGGTCTCAAGCTATGCCAGCTACTCAGCAGCCCAGGCTGACCAGGCCCCTTCAGCGCAGTCTGAGACTGGTCTCAAGGTATGCCAGCCTGAGACTAGCCTCAGGCCCAGTCCCTCAGCCCGCCTGCTGGCGTGTCTTACGTGTCTGCGACTGGCCTCAGGCCCGGCCTGGCCAGCAACTCGCTACCCAGCCTCAGCCCATCCAGCGACCCGCCCAAGCACAGCTCAGCCCAGCCAGCCGAAGTTCCAGGCGCAACCAACACCATAATCCAGCTGCCCAGCACCACCCATGGCTTCGCAGCCTCGTGGCTGAGACTACCTAAGCCAACCCCACCCAAGCCCACCCGGTTTGAGACTCGCAGGCTATCTAGCGCCGAGACTGGGCCTCACCAGCCTGGGCTCAACTAGCGTCTAGCCCAGCCCCAGTCCGCCTGCTGGCCAGGCCTGTCTGACGTGTCTGAAACTGGCCTCAGGCCCAGCCCAGCCATAGCCCAGCCCCCTCAGTGCGGCTGCCCAGCCCGCCGTAAACTAGCTTCAGCTCAACCAACAACCCACGCAAGCAAGGTCCAGCCAAGCTGCCCGAGACTAGCTTCAGGCCCAGCGCAGGCTTATCTGATGTGTCTGAGACTAGCCTGTGGCCCAGCCCAACCAGGCGAGGCCGGCTTGTCTGACTTGTCTGAAGCCAGCTTCAGGTATTCGGACCTTCCCAACACTGGATTTCGGTGTTCCTGACCCTTCCCTCAAACTAGGCTGGGCCGAGGCGGGCAACGCGAAGCGTTTACAATAAAATCAATGTGCCCAGCTACGGCAGTCCCAAGTCAGTCCATCCCTCTCTCCATTCGTTCTCTCAAGCTCACCGGCATGGAAGCTGCAGAAACAGCTCTGAATCTTGCCCTGTCTGCCATTCGGCTGCCCGCGCCTTGTCATCAACGAAGGAAACCACATTGTGAACAAATCCTGGGGCAAGTATGACATGTCATATAGCTCACTACTCAGCTGCATGATTGGCCAAAGAAATCACTATGGCATAATATAATATGAAATGCCATCCAAATCCAGCGCCGAGCTCTCAGCCTACTCTGTCGCGGAGCCAATTCACCTCAGCCGGGCTGGGCCTCCCCAGTGTCACAGCTTCATCGAAGGGAGAGTGCACAAAGGATCATGCGACTGCAGATTTGCCTGATGACCGATTGACAAGAGATTAACTAAAGCACTCCTCAGAAGTCAAGTCTGCAGTTCTATAAATGCTGTCCAAAGCGCAAACGAGCCGAGAAGCACCAAAATGATGACAAACGCGATGGTGGCGAAAAACCTGACTCTTTCTCCTCTGCTTTCTCTTCTCCCGCCGCATCCTAATGCTCCCTGATCTCATTGACTCAAATATTCAGGACTCCAAGCATCCTGCTCAAGCTTTGTGGAAAGTCACAGAAACTACAGCAATGCTGAGGGACCGCAGTCCTCCTCCCGTGATCTTTGCAAAAACGCTCATCTTGCTTGTAAGACCCTGCCCATGCCCAGGACCTTCTATTGGCAATTGGTGTTCCACCCCCCAACTTGCCATATTTGGCCAGAATTCAAATATAGGGTAACCCCAAAATGGCTTGCCCTGGTAAATGGAAACATGGACGATTCAACCTGCGGTCCATTTCCTGATAATTTAATTTTGACTCATTTCCTGCGGTCCATATTTGGCCGGGGGGCAAGTAGATGGTGGCCTCCTCCAGGTGAGGCTGAATGAGGTGGTTGTCCCAAAGTTGCTTGAAGCCTCAGGAAGCACTGCTTGGCCTCGCCCCATTCGACTTGGAAGGACTGCGTAACATCGGCCTGGCATCGAAACTGACGAAGGCCTTGCCGACCGAGTGCCAGGCCATAACCAAGGAGGAAGACCACAAGGCCCCTCGCAGAATGAGCTCAAATGATTCTGGGTGCTTGCACTCTGTGGCAATTTTCAACTCAGGGCTCATACATCACGCCCGTTCACAGTAAGAAAATATCTTAATATGCAGCTGCCAACAACGTTCTTAGAACTTCGGAAAGGATATGCATTCTTTGGGCCACCTTCATGTTGGCTTCCAACCGGCGGAGAGACGTCCGGACCGAGGCCCCCGCATGACGCTCAGCGTGGCGCAGTTGCAGCTGGCCAGCAGCTTGATGAACTGCACCAGACACGAGGCGCAGCCTGGGAGCGCGCAAGCCGGCCACGGCGTGTTTCACGCGGGAAAACAAGATCTCACAAGCGTATGTTTTTGTTTTTGTGTTGGTGAGGGTGCCCGTTGTTTTTTTGTGTTGCTTTTGTGGGTGTTTGTTTGTTCTTGTTGTGTTCTTTGTTTTTGGAGTGTTCTTCTCTCTTTTTTGGGGGGGAAGGGGGGAAAAAAAGAAAAAATAAAAAACATTTTAGGGGGGGGGGTCACTCGGATTTGCTGCTGCTTCTGCTCGAATTTGCTGGGGCGGTGGCAGGCGATGCGCCGACAACAGCAGCAGAGCACTCCCATTCGAGCCAGGATGGAGTCCTGGCTGGAGCAACTTGCAACTCCGACGACGTGTCGTCAGGGACAAAACTTCTAGCACGGTGGGTCCACAGGAATACATTGCAGTGATGCTTGTTCCGCACTTTATCTGTGACCTTTCCGCAACTCATCTCCCTTTTGAACTCGCCAGGGTGCTCTGGCCTCCTCCCCTTCCCTGTTCTTTTTGCGGTGATAGGCGGGGTCCACCCTGCACAGGAGACTCCGGCTCCGGCTGGCACTGAGACAGCAATGGGAACCCGTGCTGAAACATGCTGAAACATGCTGAAACATGCTGAAACAGTGAACCCTGTGTTCTTTAAAAATGTCAGCAGACTTGTGCGGCTGAACTCCGGGCCCCCGGGCGCATTGCTTTGGAACCAGACGAGCACGATGCAAATCGTCAAGACGCAAAGACCCGCTGTCTGCGCCGCCATGCGCTCGCCTCATGCTGGTGTTCAATGTATGGATTGCATGCGTGGATTGCGGCTCTCTGGTGGCCAAAAGCAGGCAGTTTGTTCGCGCGTTTACACAGATAGTCGAAGCAAATTGGTGTCTCTCCTGCGTTCTCCAAACCCCCGGCGCCTTTGTACATGTCCTCTTCCTTGGGAGACAAAGTCGGTGCCGCGGTGGAAGCAGCGGCCGCCTTCCAGGCAACCCGGGGTTGGCCCAACCCGTGAGCCAGTGAGCAGAAAGTGACCGGAAAGTGACACTCTCGGGCCTGGGGCGAAGTTGAGCTGCTTGCCTGACCAAGCAAAACACCAGCTTGCAAACAAAAGTACAAGTAACATGCTGACCAAAATGCTCGCTCCGGACAACACCATGCTACAATGTTCAACAATGGTCCCATGCTTTTGAAAGGCAGCCCCTAGAAACCCGATCAAAAGCCAAACTGCCCCCGCCGTTTGCGACTCCGTGCTTGGCGGCTCCGTGCTCGGCGGCTCCTGGGAGCTTTGGCTGCTTGGCTCTGCCATGGGCACGTGCGCCAAAATCATCAATGAATAGGAGTCGCTCCCGCCCTCCAAAGCGGCCGGAGGCAAAATTGCACGATCTAACAATGTTGTTCCCTCCGGCTTCCTTTGGCACACCCGCTTCATCCTTTGGCATGGACACCGCCATCTTGGCACCTAGGCAGTTGAGCGCAGGCAGTTGCTGCTGGCAAGCACAGCCCAGTGCAGCCCATGCCTTTTTGGGGGACAGCCAGTCAGAGTACAAGAATGTCACAACCCGATCTTGGACTGCCAAAACATATTCTACGTGTTGTGTCTACAGCTGATATCTGAAACCGTGAAACCCCAAATTGATTTGGTGACTATGTCGAAACAATGCATTCCCATCCTCTCGAAAAACGTTTCCTTACAACTTTCCGCCCCAAGCATTGAGTCCTTTGAGTCACGATCAAACCCACTAAAGGAGCCTCTCCAGACCCATCAGCAGAATGAAAAAGCCAGCTCATTAGGTTTTGGGACTGTCCCCTTGCCTTGATCCACATGCATGCGTTTCATGTATTTTCCTCCTTTTCCTCCTTCCTTTACTTACCCTGGCCTCGTTCCCTTCAGGCGTTTCCGGGGCCCCCGGGGTCCCCTCGGGCCCCCCTCGGGCCCCCCGGCGGCGCATGGCCTGCTCCGCGCCCTGCGCGGCCCGCAGCGCCCGGTGCGCCGCGGAGAAGTCCGCGGACTCCGCGGCCACGGTGCGGAGGCGGGCGCCCAGACCTCGGGTCGCTGGAACCTCCGCCTGTTCCGCCGGATTTCTAGGGGTTGATTCCTTTTCCATCCTTCTCAACCATCTTTCCGAACGCCGGATCCGTTTTCAGCCCTGGGTTTCCGGAGGCTTTCTAGAAAGAAGGATCCCTGGAAAGAATGGGGAAAGTACCCCTAAATGTTTGCCTTTACTTGGGGAGTTCGGTTGGGGTGGAATTCGGTTGAAACAAAGAGGAATGTGCCTTTGAAGGGCCTTCTTTTCCTGCTTTTAGAACACCGACAAGGGATAGATTTCAGGGCGGGAATAGGATACAAGGGTGTGTTTTGGTCAGAACGATCAATGCAACTGGACTTGACCATTTCTTATCAAGTGGGCCAGCCTTACCGCGGCGCGCCTCATGTCACAAACGAGGGCTCGCCTCTACAAATGGGAAGACAAGTGCGGGAGCAAGCCGGTACCGTGGGCAAACCATGTTATGACTGGCAGCAATTCTTTGCATGAGTAGAGCACCCCAACAGCAAAGCTGTTCGAAGAACTATGCAAACATAGATGTCAAAGCAGCGTCTGGACGGCATCCAAAGCGTCCAGGAACAATCCCTTGCCACTTGCCAGCCTTTCCATACGTGCAAATACCTTGATCCAAGCCTTGTCGCTAGAATGTATCACTCAAACCCGCATGTAGCACAATGTTCACAGCCACTTTCAAAGGCAAAAAGCGTGGTGAGAAAGTCCAACTTCGTGAGCCCTTCCAACGCTTCATCCCCTGCAAAGCCAAGCTTGCTATGCCCCAACCTTCAAATGGCAGTGGGTCAAAGATTTGTACCCAAAATGGGAACCCTGGTACATGGAGACATGGATTAAACCCATGGTCCCATGGTTTAGTTTTGACCCCACCTTCGGCTCGGTCCCGCGCCATGTGCCGCGTCCGCCGCGTCCGCGTGGCGTTGGGCCCACGCCTCCCCGGCATGGCCCGGGCGCAGCCAGGCTGCGGCGCGCTGGGAGAGGCCTCGGGGGAAGGACTTCCAAGCTGCATCCTCCACTATCCTGAATCAGCAACCTCCCCGACTCCATGAGGCTCTCCATCGTCGTTGCAGCATGGGTTGACAGGTGTCAAAATGGAAAGCCTGGGAGCAAACAGGAAAAAAGCAACAAATGCAAAAAACGTGAATGAAGCAACCAATTGAATGTAAATTAGGCCGGAGGAAAAGCAGTGATGATACTTCAGAAAATGATTTAGGTCCGGGGTACAGTCATCGACATGCATATGGTTGGCACGATCATCACTTTTCAACAGGGAACCTCTTAAAAGCTGCGGACCATCGCATGGTTTCAAATCAAAGCAAAAGGATCTCTGCGAAGTGGCCCCTTTCTTGCTTTGGTCCCCTGTTGGCTTCCGAAGTTCGTTTTCGTTTTGGGGCCAAAAGGTATCTGTTGGAAAGCGAAGCGCCCGGGCCGCCGCGCTCACGGCCTGGCGAGCCGCCTCCCGAGCGCTGCTGGCGGCTAACTTGCTGCGCCGCGCCTCAGTGGAATCGGATTCGGCCAGTGCAGCTGAAGGCATGTGGGATACTTATGATAAGATTGAGAAACCACGTCCAACACCAGCTCAAGCCATCGCGCGACAGAGACTTTTGCGACGCGCCCGCTCAAGCGCCCCAAACGTCAAGCGCGCTGAACCGAAGTCCCCACCCGCTCTATTGAGGTGGGGTCTAGGGTATTGGGGGCATTGAAGGTTTAGGGAGTGAGCAATCCGACACTTTCGGGCTTAGTGCCGAGATCGGCTGTTCAACTCCCTTCAAAACTGATCCTGAAACTAAACACTAATAACCCTAAACCTGAAGCCTTGTTCGGACAGCTCCTCAAGGCCAACCCTTTTCGGTACACAGTTTTACCTGCGTCCACGGAGCATGCAGCGCTGCTAGCTGCGAAGCATGGCTGCTAGCCTGGCAACCGCTGAGCAGTACACCGCCAAATCACCTGATCGGAAACCCAGCACGTCCTTGGGATGGGTTGTTCAATCTGCCAAAACCCTGCCAAACCACTTTGCACTGAGATATAGGTAGCAACAAATGGCCCCCTGCTCACCAATGCTGTTTGTACAAATGCAGTGTCAACACTGGTATTTCTCCAAGATACGGCTTGTGAAGAAGTGTCTCGACCGAAGCCAAACGCTCAGACTCGTGCCTGCAACTCCGGCGCATGCTGTGCAGCCAGGAGTTGCCGAGCCTCAGCGCCGTCCAAGCTCCAGTCGGCAGTGCCATGTTGGATTCTATGGGCTAGATGACAGATGTGACAGTGTCTCTTGCCGGAAATCGAGATTGGATGGATTGGATGGATTGGATGGCTTCCATTGCCCCCGCCTTCTTTCAACCTGAGGCCCATGCCCAGTCGCTCGAATCTGGCTCCAGGTGGCCCTGACCATAGCACCTGAACGATTCAGAGGCCAACCAGACGCCTAAGGTAACCAAGGTAGATGATCGGTAGAGGTGCAGCCGACGGATGGCGTCGAAACCATTCCATGTGGCAAGTGCAGGCTTTCAAGATCTCTAGAAAGCATGGCTAAGCTAGCGCATGGTCTGCCCACTCAGCGATGCCTGCCTGAAAATGTGTAGAAGCAGAACGCAGTAGATGCCCAAACGCCTCACTGCTCTCCGTGCATCATGCTTGGGCAGCTCGAGTCGGCTTGCCGAAAGTGTGACCACATGCAAGCCCAACACCCATACCCACATCCAATGGGGCACAAGGGCAACAAAATAAACTCACGAAGTAGAAATGCGGGACACTGCACAAGGCTGAGGTGCCAGCATTGATTACATGAAGTTCAGTACCCAACGGCCCGGGAGAGGTTCCCCGGAGCCAAGTGCTGCAGAGCTTTGAGAACATATTTGAAGATGTCAAGCCCAGAGCAACAAGAATCCCAAGTCATGCATGAAAATCTATTCATAGACCGCAAACAGCCTATAGAGCCTGATTTTGCAGCTCAGCCGTCGCTTCGGCGACACATCGCTGCAGCCAGCTTCCACTTTCCAGGAAACCAGTCTGGCAAATGCCTCGGCAAGAAGGAGAAAAACTCCGCCCAGCGACACTGCGAAGAGAATGTGTTCACTCAAGAGGGCGAGCTGATCGCCAGCTGAGTGGCCGGAAGGTGGACCAGAAGAAGCCCTCTGAGGACTGCATGAAGGCCTGGCAAGGCCTCTTGCTCGTTGAACTCATCGGACTGTGAACACTCGACACTGCAGTCTTTGCCTGAACACCAACCCCCTGCGACGAGATGCGCTGCTTTTGCCCTTCCTTTTCCCGCGCCTGGGCGCCCATCGTGCCCAGCACCAGGGCGCTGCCGGCGCCCAAGGCGGCGCAGGCGCCCATCAGCATGGGGCCCAGCGGCCCGGACATGAGCCGCGTGAGGAAGGGCACCTCGGAGCGCAGCTGATGAAACTGAGAACAGCCACGGACTTGCAAAGGGGATTCCTTCCTGGCGGTCTGTCATCTTCCAAAGAAAACTAATTTGAAGGACATCTTTCTGGGACCAAGCCGGGCGTTTCGCTCTCCAACGTGAGCAACAGTCCACATTCACCTGGGTACACTCACCAAATTGCCATTAGGACTTTAGAAAAAAGAAAAATCGGGATTTCCACATCATTTTGGGACAACTTGAACGCGGCTTCTGGATTCTCCTGATCTCTCACGGGCCTGGCGCTCCAAGCGCTCGCACCGCTCCTAGCCAGAAATTCTGGAGGAGTCTCCGGGCACACTTCCGCCAAAGGCAAGCGTGCCCCCCAAATGTCTTCGTATGCGCAGCCGATCTGAGCAATCCATGTCGGCAGCTCCTGTGCCTCTCGCCGCCTGGAGCAATCTCCCATGTGAAGCATCTGCCCAAATGTCAGGTCAGTAAGCGGATAGTGGATAGAAAAGCCTTGTAAGGGCCACGGAATGGGCTTCAAAGGGCTCTGCCCGTGTGCAGCCTCAGCTGCAGATCGTACATGCGGCGAAGTCCCACATGCAGCAGGGTGTTGTAAGCCTCGTAGGACGCAAGTGAGAAGGGAGGGCCCCCCACGCCAGGATTCTTGTTGCATGTTGGATTGCACAATAATGAATTATATATGCTGAGCAGCATGATTGATCTCCTGAAATCTCTCTGCACTTGCGCGCCCCAATGAGTCAGGGTGCGACTCCTGCAAGGAAATTTGCATGTTTGAACCCTGCATCACTCAAGCAGACTTGAACAAGGTCCCCTCAAACACTTCATAAGTTGAACGCGGCGTGCCCTTGCAGCTCCTTTGCAAGGCGATGGTAAGCTGCCTTGATCTCGTCAGGGCTTGCACCTTCATGCATGTCTGGGCCTTTACAGGCCTTGCACAAGTGTTGTGGCTCACAAGACACAGAGCCCCAAACATGATTGAGATGGTCCACAGTGCGGAATGCGAAGCTTTCAGCTACCTTTCTGCAGTCCCAAGATGGAGTAGAGGTTCTCCACATCATCCTTGGCCTGTCCACAGAAGCGGCGACCTCACATGCACCGCTTCACGCCTCTCTGTGGCGGTCGGCTAGCTGACAACCAACGTCTGGTATGCTATCGGCACGCTCCAACTCAGAGTGGGACGCAGCGCGGTAAGCTGTGCCTGAAACAGCTAAAGACTTCTCAAACTATCTGCGTCTCAATTCAAATGTCCAATCTCCACCTGCACAGTCATTGCAATCCCTGACAAGCAAAGATTGATGGCTTTGGTGCTTGTTCATGGTCTATTGTTTTGGTATCTTCACTGGTCGCATCTAGCCGCTAGGTTCAAACCATTTCCTCCAGGTCTGGACGCCCAGTTGCTTCATCGCAGGCAGAATCATGCAAGATCATGCCTGACCAGCTCGTCGCATCAACCTTGAAACAGGAGATTCAGACACCAACTTCCAGTACTGGCCCGAGCCAAATATCTGCTTCTAAACGGGAAAGGAATCTATTCAGCACCTTTTCCATTGTCTGATGATGAACACACGCCAATATCTGCTTGAAACTGGGAAAGGATCTATTTATATAGCCCTTGTCCATTGTCGCCGACAAGACGGATTTATTCCGCCTCTTATGGATGGGGGACATCTGCCGCAAAAGGAGGACCGCGCAGGCAGATGTCTGGCACAAAGGGGCAGCGGTTGGTATCCAACTCGCCGGCAATCAGCCCAGCACCGCTGGGCCGGAAGCTTTGACCAAGTAGCCGCCGATGAACGTACAGAACCTCCAGCATGTCGGGGATCTCACAGCCAGCAACATCTACGATATCTGCGTAGCTGTTGCCGTGAGCATGCAACATCACGAATTGCTCATTCAACTTCTCGAGGGCCATTGCCTTCACCTGGGCGTCGCCGCACCGAGGCCGACCCAGCCAGTGCAGCTCCAGGCAGAGCTGGTCGAAGCGGCCCAGCACCTCGCTGTCTGTGGCGAGGATGGCGCGGAACTCTTCGCCCTCCACGTCGCATTTCAGAGCTGAAGGCCCAGTACCGAGGAGCTGCACGCCCTCTGCCAACGTGGAGCCCACGCCTGGCAGCTCCTCAGCACACAGCGCCTCCTGGTGGAAGCTAAAATTGGGATGCTGGCGAGGAAGGCTGTCCACTGTGTGGTTGAAAAGGTGCACTTTTGTGCCCGACATGGCAAGCTCCCACTCGAAGTCAACGTTGGTGCCCACTCCGTAGCTCAGAAAATGTTTGATGGGTTGCCCAGTGTCCAACATCACGAAGCCTCCGTCGGAGCGGGGCCCCACCCGCACCAGGCGCAGGGTGTCGGAGGTCAGCTCGTAGAGGCGCAAGGCCGCCACCAGGCGTCGCGCCCAGCGTGCGTCGCCGATGGACAGATCTTTGCGAGTGCTCTCTGCCGAGATAGCCTCATGCTGCTGCGCCAACTCTTTGACGAAGTCCATCTCGATCTGGCGCCAAAACTTGGCCACATCTAGGCTAGAATCTAGGCAAAGATCAGGGCCACCAAAATAGGAGCGAAGTTGCGCCCAAGCCTTCACACGGGCCTGGCTGCCTGACGGGCGCAGAGCAGCGAATTCCCATTGAGCCTGGCTCACATAGCGCAAGGCCATGTTCACCCAAGCTCCATCCACCTTGCGCGCACTCGCGAGCTTCACGACGTAGCAGGTGGCCTGGGTCAGCGCCGCCCAGACTGCCTGCTCACGCTGCCGTCGCTCCTGCCGATCCCGGCACGTCACCACAGCACCACACAAGCACTGCACTGCGTGATCCTCGATCGGGGATTTGCAGCAAGGACAAACCCAGCTGTTCACCCAACAGTCGCCGGTGGCAAAGTTTGTGGCACAGCGAGGGCAAAGGCATTTCACGCCATGAAGCTCCAGCAAGTGATGTCGCCGAGAAAGCACCTCGTCCACCTCGTTGATATAAGAAATGAAGATCTCTTCGCCCGCCTCAATTGCCCTTGTACAGGTCAAAGAGCCCTCACTGCCGCGATAGATCAGCTTGGCATTTGGGCAGCAGGAATGGTTCAGCAGCGCGAAGCAAAACGGCACGACAGTTGCAGGGCCCAGCCCGGCGCCGATGCGCTGCAGGTCCAGGCTGATAAACTCCTCGTCGGTGATTTGAAAATTCACAGAGGTCTTCGCCAGGATCTCCCGGGCGTGGCGCAAGCGCCGCTCCAGTGCCAGTTTGGTGGCGGGCAAACAACGCCAGGTCTGGGGCCCCTTGCAGCACACACGGAACCAGGTCTGCAGCAGCTCCACATGCTGGGTCATTCTCTGCAGCACGGCCAGCGTCAAAGTGACCGCACTCTGCTTCGCCTCAATGTCTGACGTGTCGTGCGGGAACAACTCTAGCGCGTTGAAGCTCGTTTTTCTCTTCAACCCCTTTTTGCCAAAGGCAGCCCAAATGAAGGCATGCTCGACGGCAATGTCCCTACCTGGCTCGAAGGACTTCCGGGCGTGGATGCCATAGCCATGCATGCTGCTCTCCGAGATGGCCAGTTGCGGGGGGAGGATCCTCTCAAGACTCGCAAGGTCGGCTTCAAAATCTGTACCTGCGTCCGCAGGTTGTTTCCTGTGCCTGGAAGGCCATCTGTATTGGCACTGGGCCAGCGCGGCACTCCACTGCACCCCGTTCGCAGCGCAGCCCTGTGCGGAGGGGCGAGGCATGAAGGCGCTCATAACGGCGCTCATACTCGATCAATCCGCGCCAGCGGGCGCCCGGGTGCCCGCTCGCCACCATGCGACGGCTCACGTTCGGGATTGCAATGGACACTTGATCCTACATGCTGCATCAATCAGCGGTTGACAATATCTTAAAACAACGCTCCTTCCAGGCCCTTTGATTTTCTCCTATCTTTGCTTCTGGTATTTCAGTCGCTAGCATCCACCAAAGTGCTGCATAGCGGCTCAGCACGCCCACCAGGATGTGTGCGCAATGCTGGCAGTGGTGCAGCTTTCAGTGCCAAAAATCATCTTGCGATTCCGGGGTCGGGATAGGGATGATGTTTCCTCGCTCTTCTACCTTGCGTGCGTGTGGCTGGTCGACGCAAGGGCCATCTAGTTGCTGTGTTAGATATGGTCCGTGGCTGGGGGAAACAGCATTTTCCATCAGTTCCATCAGTGGCGCCAATCGTTCGAGCCATCGCGAACGTCGCATGCAAGCAGATGAACCGTGGGGATACACATACCCTGTTCAGTGCATGGGCTTCGGAAGCGCTCACCTGCATGGTTAGTTCCCAGTTTCCCGACAAATTTGGAGGCTCTGATGAGTGACCCGGGCCACTCACAAAATTCGCGCTGTCACACATGTCCACTGGCAAGGCAGTGAATGGGAGGGCACCTCTATGTAGAAGGTTTCCTGCTTGGCCTGACAACAGTGATCTGCATCTGCACAGCACAGAAGCAATTTTGACTATGGTTCCAGGGTCACAAGGCACACAATGTTGGAACAAGTCGGCGCGACTTGTGTTGCAAAAGGAAACGTGGTTTCTCCAGAGACATCAAGATGCAAGTCACAAGTCTGAACTCTTCAACTCCGAGCTCAAAGAAGCCAATTCGGAGCACGACGCAGTGCCCTGTTGGCCTCTGCAGCCTCTAGAAGGCAAATCTCCACGAGCGGATTCACCTTGGAAAGGCCCGCTGAAAATGGTTTGTTCCTTGCCAATTTCCTTTTCTGCAGTTAGCATGAGGCTGGCAAATGACAGCAAGCATTGGCATCTGAATGGCCAAGAGGTGCCCTTCTTGGAACCGACCGTACGCGTAACTCGCTCTCTATCTAAAGAAAGTTGCGTTTGGGTTGGCCAAAAATCAAGGGCGCGTGACAAGCAATAGAGAAAAAGGATGCGAACGCTTTGCGTCAAACAAGATTAAGATTAACCTGGTAGTGTCTGCAAACTGCCTGGACTAAAGTTGCTCAGATCCCAAGCTCCAAACCCTGTTGATGCTGGTGCAAACATGCCTCTGAAACAGCTAGTGACAGAGTCGCAGGAGTCAGCTCAATAAGATGCTACTTGTCACTGGTGTCTTTCCAGGCTGTCTGGCCTTGCGGCCCGCAATGTTGCACTCACTGGCATAGGCCTTGACCAGCTCCTGACACAACAAATGTCACGACTCTCAGTACTCCGAATGTTTCAGAATCGTGCCAGGTACACATCAAACGCAAGAATCAGACGTGCACCAGTGCCATTAGGATACGGAAGCAAACCAATGCTCAACGCAAAGGTCAGCAGCACATGGTGCAGTTTGTCTATTGAAGAAGAAACTGCAAGCAACAAACGGTGCAGGCTAGATGACTCCATGCGAACCTTTTTTTCCTGTTGCAAAGCCAAGCCTTCGCAAGCGTTACCTTGAGCCTAATTTTTGCGAGCCTGGGGAACCACAATCCATGTGGAGTATTTCTGGCCCAGCAAAAGTACAAAGCCAAGAAGTACCCGACGCACGTTGAGCAACTTGGCCCACCCCACACCGCTCCGAGTCAACTAAGAAGGACTGCAAGCTGCCGCCTGGCATGTACCATCCCTCCATGCCCTCTCCGGTGGTTTGCAAAACAAGCGCATTGAGTGCTGCTAGTACCGGAAAGTTCGCCTTTTGCTGCGGCAATGTGCAAGAGTCAGTCTAGCTGACCAGGCCAAAGCCCATCTGGCAGCTCCACTGCTTCACGCGCTGCGCAGCGCTCGCTTGAAATCAAGTGACACAGGACCTTCCGGGCCTGGACTGTTGCGAATGCTTCCGTTCTCGCAGTGCATGTACAAGGCATCAATATTCGACGCAGGGTAGAAACTGTCCCAGGTGAAATTATGAGATTGCAAGCTCCTTTGAACAAGTCTTCAACTAAGCACCCCCAAAGTTCTGCCAACGGCAGGGGAAGCTTCCTGTGATGCCTTGGGAAGTCATCACTTTGGATGCGGCATGCCCCTCGCGCAATCAGAGCAGCCTGTATCTGGGCCCGAGTCACGGCTAGAATTGCGACGTGTAGGCCACGGCAAATAACAACAATTTCAGAGCATCTCGATCCAATGTCCTCTCTGACAGCTACGCCGCTGGCGCATGTACCTCTGTTGCCAGCTGAGTGCGTCACCATGTGTGCGCCACCATGTCCATCTCGCTGGCCTGGCAAGGACCGCTCGACCGCACTACGGGGTCAAGTTGGAGGCAATACGCGTATGGAGCGATCCGCATTCCTATGATAAACATTCGAAACGAGAGCTCTTTGATGCCTGTCGAGGATTCTGCTGATGGGGACTCGAGATCTCAAATCAATGCAAAGCGGATCGCTGCCCACAGCAGCAGTCCTTTCCACAGCCAACCACTGCTCAAAACAGTCCCAGCGACTTGCAAACATCGCCTCGCTCAAGAGATGCACCCTCTTTTGCCGCGATAATGGTTATCCTGTACGGACTCAGCCTGTACCTTGAAATGATCACAGCTTGGAAGGAGGCGCGGCATCCAGCTCAGCGTACAGCGCCTGGATGTGTGCCTGATACTAGCTTTGGTTGCAGGGCATGATTTGACATTTTCTACGGGGCCTTGCTCTGACCGAACGCTTAGCTGCATTGAAATCGTGGCAAAGCAACTGAAATGTGCTAATTTGCTTCCGTGCACTTTGCACTGCATCAAACAAGGCTCTCTCTCTCTCTCTCCATTTCCGGTGTCTTGCCATGGCTTGCCACTCGCCTGGTACTTGTCCAGGGCCTTGTTCCGCTGGAGCTTGAAGGTGGGGGTCAGCACCTCGCCGCCGGGCTCCCAGGGCGTGGGCTCCAGGAAGATGGCCTTCACCACTTCGAAGCCCGCGAGCTTGGCGGCCTTGGCCTGCTGCTGGATGTCCCCCAAAACCTGAGCCGAGCTTCGGGGCACCCGCGAATCCAGGGCTTGGTCGGGGGAAAAGAGAAACGGCTCCGGATTTTTCCTGTTGGCCAAAATCAAAAACCCGTTGAAGACCCGTTGACCCGTTGAAGTCGGAGGAACCGCCTTCCTGAAGGCCGAGTCCTTGCAAAGCTCGGGCAGGGACTTCTGCAGGCCCTGCTGCTTGGCCCAGGCCGCTGCGACCTCGGCGTCCGGCACCACAATGGCCACCAGCTGGGTCTTCAAACTGTCCCCGTAGACAAAACTTTGCGCCACAAAGGCGCTCTGCAAATTCAGGCCCTCGAGCTTCTCCGGGGCCACGTATTCGCCCTGCGCCAACTTGAAGATGTTCTTCTTGCGGTCGATGATTTTCAAGCGCCCGTCGGGCAGCCACATGCCAATGTCTCCTGAGTGAAACCACCCGTCTGCGTCAATGGCCTCCGCCGTCTTCTCCGGCATCTTGTAGTAACCTTTGAAGACGTTGCTGCCTTTGAAGCAGATCTCGCCCCGCCCATGGCAAGCAACAGAGGTTTGGCCCATCTTGTGTACCTGATCGGTGCGGAAGTAGCCCATGTCCGGCACATCCTGCAAGCGTATCTCGTTGCATGCCAGCACCGAGCCCACTGTCCCTGGAGACAGGTCCCCATCACAAGTCACCGTGCCTGCTCCGCTGGTCTCAGAGAGGCCGTAGCCCTCAAGAACGGAGCATGCAAAGACAACTCGTAAGAAATCCAGGACGTAATCCGCAATCGGAGCACTTCCTGTGATCATTACCCGCACCCTGTCAAGGCCCACCTTCTGAGCAATCTTGGAAAAGATCAGCCTGTCCCAAAGCACGCTCTTGTTGGTCCCCTGTGGCAATGCGGCCTTCTTCGCAGCGTAGGCCCGATCAAAGAGGGCCTTTTTCAGACCTCCGGCCTCTTGCACGCCGGCAAGCAACTTGTCATGGACACGTGTCAGGAGTCGTGGCACCGAGGGAAAGATCGTGGGCCGCAAAGCCTGAAGATCTTCCACGATTTTGAGGGTGTCGCCCTGGTAAAAGCCAATTGCAGCCCCGCCTGCCACGCACCCAAACTGCACCATGCGCTCAAAGATGTGTGGCAAAGGCAGATAGGACAGGAGGACGTCGTCCTGTTTAATTTCACTCAGTGACTGCCTCCCGCGGGAAGATGCAAAGGCAGATGTGAGGTTCTGATGTGTCACAAGCACGCCTTTGGGATCTCCGGTGGTGCCTGAAGTGTAGCAAAAGGTCAAGACATCATCAGGACTGGGAGCCAGGTGGTGTTGCGGCTCCAATGAACCCTCCTTCTCCACTTCTTGCATGCTCAGAATGCGCAGGCCTGCATCTTTCCCCTTTGCTCGCAGCTCCTCCGTGAAATCCATAACAATAACACACTCCAATGTGGGGCAGTTGTTGCAGGCCAGTGCTGAGTCCAGTGTGGCCGCCGAACAAAGCATTGCCTTGAGGCCACACTGCTTCACAACGTAGGCGACGCTGTCGGGACCCAAGGTATCATACATGGGCACGGTAACAATGGACTGTGTAAAGCAGCCTTGCTCGCCAATGACCCACTCAGGTCGATTCTTCGAATAGATCCCCAGCATGCCCCGGTTTCGCACCTCTTCATCCTTGAGCGGAGGGCAGAGTCCCAAGCGGACAAGGCCTGATCCAAAGTTATCAGCCCTCTTTCCAACCTCCTCGTAGGTGCTCCACACATAGGGACCAGCAGTGCCATTCGCAATGGGCCTGTGCCCCAGGAAGGGCTTTTGGGGGAACTTCCGCCGGGAATTCTGGAAGTTCTCATAGGACGTCTTCACCAAGTCACCCGAGTTCGGGTCGTAGACGCCCAGCACAGGCTCCTGGCCATCGCAGCAGCGGTGGGCTGGGCCCCAGCCACGCTCAGGATCCTCGCTGCCGGGCACTTCTCTGGAGAATATGGCCATGGCGATGGCCAGCTATGGGTATGGCAGGTGTGGCAGGTATGACAGGTACACATGGAAGCATCCTGCTGAAGCCTCTATGCGCTACGATCTCTCGTACCACAAAGCTCGATATTTGGTAAATCACCTCTGGTCAGCAATTGAGCAAGATCAGAAATCGGCAGTGCGCTGAGTTTAACTTGATTGCCTGTCTTCCCACCCCCCCGACACCTGTCAGGCCAACACTCTGTGAGACACTATCTTCAACACGTGCCATCCGACATGCTGAGCTTCATGTGTAAAACAAGTTGGATTGACGACAGAACGTGTTTCAGTCGTCAAAATCTGAGCGCGAGAAGGAGCCCAAAGGGGAGCGCCTCAGAACAGGAAGTACTTCCGGGCCAGCGGCACGGTGTCCACGGGCCTCGCCGCACGTCGCTCGATTCGACCAAATCCTTCCCCAAGAATCACGCACCCATGTTTGTGGTTTAAAACGAAACCAAAATGGAAACCACCATGCTTTTAGCTGCGGGGGGGGGGGGGGGAAACAGACACACCAACGTGGAATCTGGTGGATATGTGGCCCCTGTGCGCCCGGACTCGCAGGTAAGTCTCTCCCCGTCAGCGGTGACCTCGAAGGTCTCTGGATTTACACCTGAGCCGCGCATTGCGCAGCGCTCAAAACCAATCGGAATTTGGTTTCCCTCATGGCGTTCCTCGCAGCTTTCGCGAAGCTTCGCGCGTGCTCGCTTTCCTTTCGCTGCGGCTTGCTTTGCATCAACTCTTTCGCGGCGAGGACAACGTGTCTGTACAATAGGAAGCAGACTAAGTACACTTGATACCTCCAGCTTGAAAATCGTATGCTTCCAATACAAGCGTAGCGCACCAAGTGCACTTTGGCAGCTCCGGCTCAAAAACAGCAACGCTTCAGCACAAGAATCTTTTGCAAAAGAGGATCCTGGACCCACACCTTTCGCAGAGCTTTCGAAGGAATCCCTCCCGCATTTTCGAAACTGGCAAACGGCCTGTGCGCACTCTTTCGCGGACGAGTTTTCGAAATTTGCTTTCGCAATGCAGAGTTTTCCTTTCGCGGAAGCTATTTAGGAAACCGTTTAGATAAAGATCATCCTGGGGTTTTGGGCGGGCCTTTCAGGGTTGTTCTCATTGTTTCTGACTTTAAGCTCATACTGTGCTCTCTGAACAGCATCGCTGGGGTATAACTTGCGGATTGCTTGCACATATGTGGTGGATGGAGGCTTGAAGAAAGGGCGGGAATTTTGGACCAGAACGAGTGTGATATATCGACTGGTGCGCACTGCCAAACATCCAACTCAGTGTGCAGCTGATGTCAGGCGTCGCGCTGTTGTATACCATGTCCTGAGTGCACTTCGCAGATTGCACAAAACACATGGGCAAAGGTGAAGAACTGCCAAAGGATTCTTGGCAATGTGCAAACACTTGAGTCTATTGTGTCCAGTCATCGGAAATCCAAGGCCCGCAGCAACCGTCACTCGGAAGCGGGTTCCGCTCACACGGTTCCGTCCTTCTTCTGCACCGTGCGGGTGCCCTTCACGGCCTCGATGGGTTTCTGAAGGCCGTACTCGCGCACGGATGCCTCCTCTCGCGTGCATGGCACATATCGTCTGGGACTAGCGGGTCCCGACTTTTCTGGAGGGTCTTCCCCGTATTGTGTTGGGATTTCCTGGATTTTCTGTCTTGGAACTGGCAAGTGCGATCTCCCTTGGTTCTGCTGTGGTTTGACTCGTTTTGCACCAGCGCTGTCAACATCCCCAACATCGTTTTAACTCGGCAGCATCCTTTTCAACATCCGCAGCATTAGAGTTGGATTTGTTGTTGGCTGGGTTTAGCTGCGCTTTAGGTACTGGGATGGTTTAGTGTTGGTTTAGGGTGGGGTTTAGGGTGGGTTTAGAGTTGGTTTAGGCTGTGGTTGTGTTTGGGTGGGCTTAGGGTGGTTTGGGCGTGGCTTAGGGATGGTTTAGTGTTGATTTGGTTGTTTGGGGAAGGGGGGGAGTAGGGGGCGATTGCTTTGGGTTTGCTTTGGGTTTGTGAAGGGTTGGTGTAGGGTGCGTTTAGAGCGGGTTTAGTTTGGGTTTAGTGCTGGTTTACAGGGGGTTAGGGATTGGTTTTGGGGTTGCTTTAGGGTAGATTTAGTGGGGGGGGGGGGGGGGGGTTGGGGTTGGTATAGGGTTTGCTTAGGGGAGGGTGGTTTAAGGTGGGCTTATTCGCGATGGTTTTGTGCTTGTTTAGTGTGGAGTTTTGGGTTGGTTTAGGGTAGGTGTAGAGTTGGTTTAGGGATAGTCTATTGCTGGTCTAGAGTAGGTTTGTGTAGGGGGTTCTTTAGGGAGTCTTGCTGGTTTTTAAAGGTTACTTTAGGGTTTCTTTAGGGTTGGCTCAGGCTTGCTTTTAAGGTTGGTTCTAGTTGTAGTGGCGGTTTAGGGTGGGTTTAGTGGTGGTTTAGGGTTGGTTTAGGATGTTTTTGCGGCCCAAACGTGGGTTTTGGGCGGGCGTTGGATTGATTGGGGTTTGTTCAAGGTTTTAGGTTTTGGCTTCTTTGGCTGTTTGGTTTCTTGGCTTTTTGGCTTTTCGGCTTTTGGCTAACTTGTTGTGGACTTTGTGGCTTTCCCCAGCCTCAGCATCACCAGTAACACCCCAGCATCACCGGCTTTTGGCTTTTTGGACGTTTGGTTGGTGGCTTCTTACCTCCCATGTTTCTGTAGATCGGGGCGCCTGCGCCCCCCCCCTCCCCCAAACCCCCGCTGCGTTGTAGGGCCGTTGTGTGGCTTTGTGATGCCCTCAAAAGGCAAAGCCAAAAAGCCCAGACTCCAAGAGAAAAGCCAAGAAGCTAAGAAGCCAATCAGGTAAAATCCAGGAAAAAAAACCTAAAGAACAACAGGAAAAATCCAAGAAAAAATAGTCCTCCCTAGATAGCTCTTCTGATCCTTCTTTCCTTGCACGCCCTGCCCTTGGGCCCACTTGCCTGCGCCGCAGCTTGGGAGACGAAGCTCAGGCTTGTTGAGCCTGGGAGAGGACAATGAGGCTTCTCGCAACTCATGGTGTGTGCTTGCAGTTGTTTCTGCTTGGGTATCGGTGCGAACTGTTCTTGCGCACCACGGACTTTGTGCAGAACCAAGCCAACCCAGCACCAGTCTGTGAAAGCAATAGATGAGGTGTGAGTGCAGTGTTGGAGTCTGAACTAAAAAACCAAATCACCGAAAATTAGTACAGACAGCTTGTGCTCCGCTTTGTGCCCGAGCGGACTCTGGAAAAGGAGTCCTCGAGCCAGCTCTTGAGCCAGGCAGCCCACAGCTTTTCCAAAGCTGCCGAACATGGGCCGCATCATCACTGGCTGCGGCCTTGGGGAACAGCGGGCAGAAGCCTATGATGGTGAGCCCGAGCAAGTCGTTGTATTCATCAAGTCCGGGAAAGGAAGTCTGCATATCACGGGCTCACCTTTAACCTTCACAAGGAACCTGGCAAGGCATCCAAAACTGAGACCCTGCAAGGACAGCCTTGCAGGGCCCTGCATTTGCCTGAGACTGGAGTTCCGGACGTGGGGATGGAGGCGTTGGGATCGCCCATCTGCGCCCAGGCGATGGTGCCGCCCTTGATGACCTGTCGCATGTCACATTGCCGCCCTTGGCGCCCTTGGGCCAAGACGCGCCCTTGGCGCGACGCGACGCCAAGGTCCCGGCCATCTCGGGCTTGGAGCCGAAGAAGCCGGGCTGCCAGAGGCAGAGATCCGCCAGCTTGCCCACCTCCAAAGGGCCACAGCTGTCGGCATCTCGTCGGCAATATTGCTGTGGGTCAAAACCAATGGTACCAGTTTGGGGTAGGTGCACCACCCATTTTAGTCTATTTTAGTGGGGATTTGGATGTTTACTGAGGGTACGGGATTTTGACCCATGGCCATATGCCAATAAACTTACTCCATGTACACCAATGATAGCCATGCGGCCTCAACACTGCCAATGGCATGGGCCATGCCATGCGCCAGAGCTGGGTTGATGGTGTACTTGGCAACGTACCTGGCCATGCGTGTTGAAGCTGGCTGAAACTAGGGTCATGTCCTGAATGTAGTTTGTCAGTCTTGCGACTGGTTGCCCTAGGGCTTGCCAAATGCGAAGTTGTTGCTGAAGTAACTTGGTACGATTAACTTAATGTACCGCTGCAAGCCTGCCTCTTGATGCGAGTGTTGTCATTGTCAGTGTCCTCTGGCAGTGGGCCTCTTTGCTGCTTCATCCTGTCAGCTGTGTCTTGGCGGAAAAGCAAAGGAATCACAGGCTGCCAACTGATCCTTAAAATGCAACTCTCCTGCCCAAATCGTTCCCTCACAATGCAACTGGCAGGCTCCTCCACTCACGCAAAAGCCCTTGCAAGTCATAAGGGCAGCACTTGGAAGCTGTCTGCCACGTCCGGCAAATGACTTCGCCCACTCGACCCATGGCCTCGCATGAGAGCAAAGCAGCACTGTGTCAGTGCTAGTTGTCTTTGGCACGAAGCTGAAATGCTGTCAGCACCGACCCAGCATGGCTCAAGGGAACTCGTGGCTTGCCGCTTTTTTTCAAACAAATACTTGCGGGGCTCAGCGCCTATGTACATGCCACATATGCCAGAGGCTTGGGCAAACACCCACTCCACCAGCTTGGCAGGCTGCATTTCATTTTGAAGCACCATCGTGAAACGCGAGCTGGTCCATGTTCAGAGGGGCGCCACTGAGCCTGGAGCCAACGGTCAGGACACGTCAAGGATTGTTTTACCCTTGCCCCAGCAGTTCCACACATTCAGTCAAGCGACCTGCAGTCGAGACGGGCAATGACTCGGCCTCGAACCTGGGCCCAGCGGAGCTGCTTGAGTAGCTGTTGGAATCAGCATTTGAGGCCGCGGCAAAACCGCAATTGTAATGGGCTGCACATGTGTTTGCTTATCGGTGTTGCGTCAAAGTTTATCGTTTTACACATTAGATGTATGTTCAACCTTATCGTTTCTTTTGCACCTTATCGTTTTGCCGGGGTTCGCGCATTTTTGGACAACTGCGCGCATCAGCTCTCATGGTGGCTTCAAAGGCTTTCTTCGTTGGACTCACGAGCAGCAAGCTCCTTCCATGCTTTTCGTTTGCGCTTGCGCTCACCAACTGCAATAATGTGTTCCAACGTAGAGTCCAAGACATGTTCCAACGTAACAGACAAGTATGCTGTCCATGGCCGGGAGACATCAAAGGGAAAGCTAGGGTAGAGTGGCTAACTCAATGGGCCACTCGTCACGGGCATGGGTTCTGTCAAAAAGCGTTATCGTTTTTGTTATCGTTTTGTTATCGTTTCAGCGTCGTGACTCGGAAGCCTCTCCCGGGTCTCAATGCTCCAAGCCATGGTTGTGAACAGGAAGGACGGAAAGGGAGCAAACAAGATTGAGCAAAATGCTAGCAATACGTGCATTCCATGCTCCAAACCTTATCGTTTTCCAGCACAAACAACACGGAAACACCCAAAAACCTTATCGTTGTTTTTTGCACCTTATCGTTTTACCGGGCTTCGTGATTGTCCAACACAATGTGCGCGACTCTTACATCCCGCCAGCACGAGAGTATTGCCAGCAGTGGCCAATATTCGCCATATTGTGAATGGTCGTGGCTCGCTTCTTGGGAACCCTAGCCACGGCTATCCCATCCATGTTAAAGAGTCGATGACCAGCCCCATCCATCAGCATCCAGACTGCCTCTCAGTGCACATTGGAAAGCCAAAGAACAGGCACAGCTGCTGGTACTCCCGCTCCGTCTTGTGTCGCAGCCACCCCACCAGCCGCGACTCCACAAACTCGCAGTAGAGGCCGGAAGACAGCCAAAGCCAGAAACCGAAGATAACAAAGCCACACCTGAGGTGTCCAATACAAAAGGGGGGGTTGTCGAAGTTGTGTCCGCAGTGCTTGCACTCCATGTTCAGTACTGCTTCATCAATTGCCAGACACAGCAGAAGACGCTGAGCTAAAAGTTGCAGGGCTCTGCTGAGCAAGGCGCGAATTATTGTTGTACTCTCCCGTGGTGTTCCGCATGCTGAAAGTTCCCGAAATGTCCCCAGCTGCAACAAACAGCTCGTGGATGGGGTACTGGAACAGGTACACCTGCACAGCAAAGATAGCACAAAGTGCTCACCATGACGTGCTGTTTCGGTTCCAAGATGTTCCCTTCACTTACCAAAAGGCCCAACTATATATATATATATATATATATATATATATGTCCTAGAAGGAAAATTGAACCAAAAAAAAGAAACAACCATCAAACCCACGCAAGGCGCGTGGCGCGCCTTTTGCGCAGCACGTGCAAATCGATCGCCGCGCCTCGAAGCTGAAGGCTCCCAGCGCCACCAGGGCCTCGCTCCGCAGCAGCCGCGCCGCGAGGCCCGCGCGGCCGGAGGCGGCCCCCAGGAAGGCCGCGAAGAGCGGCGCCAGGGCGTGGCCGAAGAAGGGCTCCCAGCCCTCAATACGAAGGAAGCAAAATGGACAAAAGTATGGACCAAAGCATGGGGGGAAAGAAGAAGAAGCTAACGATGGACAAAGAAAAAGCGAAAGTGGGGAAAGCTGAAGGATGAAGAGCCAAGAGAAATGCTTAGAGAGGAAGTTGCAATCCGACATCTTAAATGGAGAACATGCCTTCAACGATTCCCGTCCACATCAAGGAAACATCGGCCTCACGTGCGCCGGAGGAAGGTATCAGGAAGCAGCAAAGCGCAGCCAGCAGCAAAGAAGCATCGGCCAAAGTGCCGCAGCCACCTAGGCACAGGACAGGGCTGTCTTGCTGTCTCCCAGGGGTCACTCTGATGTCGTTGCCGCATACCCATCTCACCAGGCCACCGAGCTCCCGTGCAAGCTGGGCGGTCACGGCACCCAGCGCGAAATCCGGCAGCTGCGACGGTGGCCACACGTAGCCTCGCCCGAACGGTCGAAAGCAAAGCACGAGAACTGAGAGTCAGTGAGGTTCCAGGCCCCAAATGGTTGCTGCCAACGGACCGCAAACTCTTCCTTCCCAGATACACAACTCGTTCCAGGTGCGTCTGGCAAGGAAACGTGCATGCAAGCAGCTCCACACACCCTGCGCATTGGTCAGCCAAAACCTGGGCGCACAAGGCAAGATCCGGCCAAGACATTAGCATATCTATCCAAGGAAATTTGTGCAGTGAAATGCTTTCTGCCAGACTTTTCACATATTCATAGGCAGCCAGCCCAACATCTTTCTCTCTGAAAAATCAGACATGAAAAAAGAACGCTGTGAGACTCCAAAGAAAATAGAGATAGCCTGCTGCCCAGAATGAAACTCCAAAGAGCCTACGAACCCAACCATCGTATCAATGCACCGACAGTCAACGGGAAAACTCAAGACAAGGCAGCCAAAAAAAAAAAAAGTAGCAAATGAAGACAGCAAGGACTAGCAAGACAAAGTCACCAAAGTCAGCAATTCAGCTTGAGCAACCGAAGATCCGGAAAGCCTGCAGAGTACACAGCAACCGAGACACCCCTGGCGGCAGAAAACCACCAGCATTGGCGCCAGCGACAGGACGGTCAATCCCACGGCTGCAAGAAGCAGCGCACCGCAACCGCCTCTCTGGAAATGGTGCACGGTGCACGGGGCAGGGTCGACTGGAATGGGTTGGGGACCTGAAACCAGCTCCTCATGACGTGAGATGCAAATGAAACAGGAAACACCAAAACCTGTGCCAAACACATGCTATGATATGTAGCTGCTTGAATGCGATCAAGCCAACACCCCAAGGGCCCAAGAAGACATGAGCCCATCATCAAGCAAGCGTCCAAGTCGGTGACCGATACTGCTTACTACTGGAATGCACTTCTGTCTCTGCCAAAGGCAGGCCTATGCAAATCAGCACGAGTCTTGCAGGCCGCATTCGAACTCCCGTTCATCGGCACCCCCGTCCTCGGTTGAGCGCCATGATGACGCGGCAAGTCGCCGGGTACAACAACCAGCTCGGCAGCAGCGCTGCCACCGTCCTGCGCGAATTCTATCACCGTGCCCCCGGTCCGCCTACACGTCTGATCCAACCAGGGTCCAGGTCTGGCCGTTGGGGCACCAGTCGATTGGGTCTCGCCAGGTCTCCACAAAGAGAAAGCACCGCAGGATGTGGCCCAAGTCCTGGGCGTCCCGAAGCATGGCTCATGGAAGGGAGGGATCTTGATGGCTCGCAACGCGTTGCTGCTGCTCTTCCCAGAATTTCAACGACATGGGTATGGGTCAAACAGGGGACCGCAGGTTTTAGTCCATGTTTCCATTTGCCAGGGCAAGCCATTTTGGGGTTACCCTATTTTTGACCCACAGCGGTTCCATGGAAAAAAAACGTTCAAAACAGAACTCCGCGAAAGGCGACCGCAGCTTCACCTCACCTCACGCCTTTGGACGCCTTTGGACGCCTTTGGACGCCTTTGGACGCCGAAGGGCGGGGCAGTGGCCCCGGAGCTGCACCAGCAGCACGCCCAGGCCCAGCGCCATGGCCAGCCAGGTGGTCACCACCACTCGGCCCAGCCTGCGGCCGGAGAACCCTCAGGAAAATACTCGGTTACTGTCGGCTCCCCTGCTAAAAGTGCTTTTAGTGGTTTAACGGAAAACCCATTAGTTGGCAAAAAGTTAAAGTCCTAACATCCAGCAAACTGCACCTCTGAAAATGCAGGAATCCTTTCTGGGAGGGGCGAACCACATGTGGCACAAGGTCGAGGCCACATACGTTATCTAAAGGCGCAAAGGAAAAAGACCCATGCAGAGATGAGAAATGCCGAATGCCCTTTGCTCGGCCCGGCCTTCGCACGTAAAACTGCCGGATCTGCTGCATGTCAGCTAGAGCCATGCGGTTGCCGTAGGCCCAGTGTGTCACAAAGCCGCTCATGACAATGAAGAAGTTCACCGCCGCGTTGCCTGCTCAGGTTGATACGTTAGTTGCTCGTAGAAAACATCCAATGATTACTGCAATGTAGACCAGCGCATCTCTGTTCACAAGGCCCTCATTGCACGCACAAGCAGTAAGCCGAAATTTAACCATTACAGCACAGTAACGAGACACCGCCATACCGCAGGTGTTGGTTTCGTCTCAAACACCGGCCTCGGTGCCGAACCGTCGTGAAGGCTGTGGTCTCCAAGCGTGGGGCAAAGTGCCCACACACAATCCACAGCGACGCCAGGAAACGTGCTCCTGTCACCAGGCACCAACGGCCTACGTAGCCCTGACAACGATACCCGTGAAGCCAAATAGAAAAACCACTTGCGACAATGGCCCATACAGTTCACTGCCAGGTCAAAGTGGAACAGAAGGATTTACTTTCAATGGCAACACACCATCTCACGCGTCTGAAAGTAGCTGCAACGGTGCTTTCACGGGCACCAGGCCAGCCACTCAAGCGTTAAACACGCGAGTACGTGTATAGATTGACGTGAACACAGCGGCGCGTGACAGGACCGGAAGTGGGAAACCGCAAACCCAGCAGCATGAATCAGAGCCTACTAGCATGCACGCTGTCACGCTATCACGGCACTACATATATCTCAGACAGCTTCAACGGACAAAGGAAAACGTGCTAATTCCCATACTGTGCAAAGTGCCCGGTATGTCCGCAGTCTTGAGGCGATGCTCGGACACGTGGACCTGGCCAACACATCTCACTCCAGGTCATCCAAGGCCTTGGCTCTGTTGTTGGGATGCCCTGCCCGGGCGGCAAGGGCGAAAGATGCTCGTCCAGTCCAAGCGGCAACTGCAGGATGGTCCGCCCTCTGGGACTCCTGCTGCTTAGTCAAAACTGGCATGGAGGCGACCAACAGTGCCTCAAGTTTGAACTGGGGCGCCCCTGCAGCAAGGAGTTCATCGCTGCGCTCACGTATTGACACTAGTGATCTGCTTCGAGATCAACAATGGCCCTGTTTTCGGCGGAGGTCGTCACGTCCAGGTGCGTGATGCGCTCCCGTTGGGGCAGGCTAATGGCTCCAATACCCGTTAGACGAACAGCTAAATTTCTGCGGCCCAATCATGGACGACGTTGGCTCGAACGCACCAATGTGGCCGCGCCAGCCCCATCAGCACCAGGAAACCGGCCAACCCCGACGAGAGGTGGAACATGGTCTCCGGCGCAACTTGATGGATCTCCGCCGCCCAAACGCTCTGCACACAGTCCCTCACAATGACCGTGGAAGCGCAGCGAATGAACTCATGGTCGAGGAACACAGAACGTGGGGCCGTTTTGATTTAAACTCCAACTCCAGATCACACATCAACTTCAATCACTTCACATCAATCATCTCTCATGTCCGTACGCCCCATTGTGCTACACCACAAACCCAGCAGCATTCATTAGAGCCTACTATCATGCACACTGTCACACTATCACGGCACTACATATATCTCAGAAAAAATATATTCCAGCACATCACACCAAAATTCCGCACGCTGGAGCTTGCAGACTGCCTGTGAGGTGCTCCAGCTGCTCTCCACCATCGCCCATCTAGGCACCAAGGCGCAGTTCATTTAAGTGGAGTCGTCGCGAAGCGATTGGCTCTCGCCGCTGGCAGGAAACATGGTTTTCTTCTTTGCAAAGCTCATGTTGGACCAAACACGGAAGCCTACAAGGCGAGCGATTCAAGTGACTCGGCAGGGTAGCTCCACTGTGTGCACGCAAAGTGTCTGTTGGTGCAGCAGCTTGCAGGTATGACGATAGCCAAAAAAGGCACAATGAGCTGCAGTTGCAAACATGCGCATGCATGAGCGAGCTCAAGTAGAGGATGTTGACAACTGATGCACATGAGAAGCAAACATGCACCGCAAATGCATGTAGCTGCCAGCCTGTGAATCAGAAGAGATAATCGAGATGGCGCCTGGCAAAATGGCAAGCTGCCTGGGATATATAGAATGGGTGAAATCAGACCATATATATGGAGCCGTATTTGTAACAGCAGGCCAAGTAATGCCATGCCAGAATGTACAAGTACGGTGCTGTTCGTACGGTGCTGTTCAAATATACATTGACATCTTGAAGAGGCGTTGCACAGATTCGCAGAAGGAGCAAAGTCAAAGCATGGCAGCAAAGCCAAGGTCGTGCAGTATGTCCTGCCAAAAAGCAGTGGGCAGGGTTTGCCCACAACAATTCTCTGGCGGATAGGTAACAATTCCATTTGTTGTGCAGAAAGAGACAAACCAGTTCCTGGTGAAGTCTTCAGAGCCAAATGCAAATCGGTTCCCATCGCTTTGCTTTCGGGTCCTCAGCAGCAATGGTCTCGCCGCGAATCCGCGACTCAGCAAAGGCCACGTCCTCCAAGAGAGACCAAATCGGGTACACAGCATTTGCACTGACGCTCAGCTAGCCCAAATTAGCACGGTCTCAAGAGACCGTAGCAGAATCCGATTTAACACTGTTGAGAGCAGAAGAATCGTGGCCCTTCGAAAGCGCTGCCTTCCAAGCAGCAACCATCCAACATCATACCTGGCTTTCATCCCTCACCAGCTCCTCGGGTATATTCTTGTTGAGGTGGTGGCCTTAGTGATGCTCGTTGCTTGCAACAAATGTCACATGCGACGTTCACGCTCTAGAGCCGATACCATCATGGCCAAGAGTTGCCTCCCAAGACACTGTTTACTGCTTACTGTTGGAAACTAGGCTCAGGCACACGCACACCATGAGCATATCAAGGTGCTCCTGACCAGTTTCACAAGCATCTTCGATCAAAGTCAACTGAGGCCGTGCCATGAGATCCAGCCAAACATAGACCTCTCCGCAGTTTCTGCATTTGGGAAGTTGGCTGTCGGACTAAGAGTAACCAGTCTACTTTGTCAACCATCCAATTGTTTGATACTTGGCAAGAAATTGAGCGATCGCCCACCTCCACGGTGTTCACTGTGAAAGGCCGGGTGGGATTCGTGGAGGATGGCAGCACATTGGGCAGGCCACAAACCTGGCACACGGACAGAGCACAGCTCGACTCCAAGCAGTCCATGACATGCCTTGATGATGTCTGGGGCATGTCCGCCGCCAGCACCTTCCGTGTGGTAGGTGTGGATGGTCCGACCTTTGCAGCAGCTTTCATGCAGCTTCCTAGTGCCCGAGTAATTTCCTTGCTTTGGAGCCATACTGTTTCTGTTTCTGTTGGCTTCGAAGCCGAGCAAAACAGCGCGGCGTTCGGAATTGCGCCACAGCGCTTTGGGCTCCGAGCCCTTCATGGCAGCGATGGAGTCATCCACAAAGCCAGACTCGTTGATGGTGTCCTCCGGATAAAGCAAAGAAAATGGCATTTCCTACACAAAAGAAGCAAATAGCCTATGCGACATATTACAAGCCGCATACTGTCTGGTTCCCTTTTCAGGGGAGCATTGCAAAAAGGACACCGCTTGCCGACCAGCCCCGCTCCGTATGGATGGTAATGGCAATGTCGTGCTGGTCTGCGAAGCTCAGCGCCGTGTCAATCACGGCCGGCGTAGTGCCCCAGTCCTGAACCCCCATTCATCTCTCGCATCTTCAGCTTTTGCGCCCAGAAACCCAATGAAACAGCATCCAAGTAGAATACAACTCCAGAAAATCCAAGAGGCTGGGCTTTGGGACGTTTGAGCCTTGAAACAAGAAACGTGCGACCGGGCGCCTCATGGAGCTTGAGGCCTGCAGCTCCGGCCTATGCGAAAGCCCGGGTCGTTGCCCAGGGGAATCCGCTTGCTTTGAGTTGAGAAGCGGATTTTGTTTCCTCCGCCCCTTTGCCGCAAAGCCCAAAAGCCCAAAAGACGAAAAAGCCCCAAAAGCCCGCCTTGATCACCTCCATCAGACCAATTGGATCTGAGGTGTTGCCTGACTGTCTGAACAAAGCACAGTGTGAAGAATTTTCCGCCCGGAACTGTTCGGCTCACTTGCAAACGTCTGGCTGTGCCTTTGCCAGAGAAGCCGAAGTTCAACGGAAACCTTGCTGCAAACCAAACGGTCTCAGAAAACGGTCTGCACCGACACTACTTCGGCTGAAGCTCAACAAAACCAAAGCTCATCTAAGCCTCCAGCGTATCTGTCGCTTGCAGCATCATTTCTACCTATCACGGCTCCCCTTGCAATTGTTCTTCTTGTCGCATGTCAGGATTCTCGGCTGCATGCCTGGCTAGGCGCAGGCGTACAGGTCGTGGCATTTGTCCCTGTCGCAGGACCAGTGCCTGTGGCTGCGTCCCAGAATGGAGCAGCCATGGTTTGTGCAGGAGAATTCGCTTGCGAAGGATTGAAAGGAAGGTGTCTTTGCGGTGATTTGAAACACTTGAAGGCGCAGGCCTCCTCCGTACATCGTGGTGAGGCCGGAGGCAATGGCATCGTAGATCTGCTGCGGGCAAATCCAGTGTACCTGCGCAATCAGAAACTAGGACCAAGCAGAATGGTACTCCGCTGTTCCAGGCTTGCTAACGTGTGCATCACAGCTGAAGTTGGCTCACATGCATATCACATCCTCCTGCAGTGATGATCATGCCCTCTCCAGCGATGGCTTCTGTGGTGACCTGCAGATCAAAACCGGAGTATCGCGGATGTGCTCTGCCAAGCACTCTGGAAGTATTAAACTTGCTCAAGCTGCCCAGGGCAACCGCCGAGATCCTGACGCCAACTACCATGCCCTTGGTTACGCCGTCCATCATATCCGGGTTGCCGGCCTAGCAATGCACGGACAAAAGCCAGCCTCTTAGCAAAGGCCACACAAGCTGCCAGTCTGTCAATGGCTCATGATTAGGACACCTGCCTTGCCGATGCCGACAATGCGATTCCCCTTGATTCCGATGTCCTTGCAAGACAGCAAATCCTGCAACCAACGTTTTGCAATCTTAAAGGCATTGGGGCATGCCGCACAAGACGTTGACACAACACCGTCCACCACTACCCAGAATGATAACTTGAAACGATTTGCTCTCACGACGTGTTGGTCATCTTTCACTGCATAACTCCTGCGGAGGTGATGCGTCCACAACTCCCAGAAAACTGGCAAGCACGAGTCTCTTCCCCACGGCTCCCATTCTCCACCGGTCCACCCTTTGTGCCCCTCAACTTGTCAGCCAAGATGCAGCCTTCCTGGCGCGGCAGAGACTTGTTCCAGACCCAACTAGACCGTTGCTGCAGGTTGCTTGCAGTCAGGCTCTGGCAAACCACGCGCGGCTGGGAACTTGAGCTTGAAACGGAGGGCGAACAAGAAACCAAAGTGAAAGGACAGCTGAGTACTGCTGCCGTGCTTCTGGAAGCAGGTGGCCGGCCAAGAAAAGGAAGACCGATTGCAGCCAGCGAGCTAGCCAGCCACCAAACCAATAGACAACTAGTTGGATTAGTTGGTGCCAAAAAGCTAGCTGTCCCTTGGCTGGCTGGATGCAACATGCATATATATATATATACATATATATATTTTCCTGCAGCCAAGGGGCACAATGCCTGTCTTCGCATCCACGATGAGCGCGTTGGTTATGACTACGTCCAAGGCATCCTGGTACGTGAGTATGTCACTTCATCCAAACTCCAAGGTCACAGCCAAGATATGTTACAGGATAACAAATCATATTCAATAGTCACTGAGACCCCAGCTAATTTGATGATGTTTGAGAGTACTGGTTGCGAAGTGATAAATGTGCCATAGTATGTAAACAAAAACAATGATGACAATAATCACCCGTTGCTGATGTCATGCTGACTGCTCCCCCCAGGAAAACGATGCGAAAATCTGAGTACGGTCCGTACATAAAAACAGCTCGCTCTTTAAGTTCAGTGTCAAGCTTCCCCTTGATGCAAACTGACGCCTACCCAGCTCCTTGGCGTGCACCCCCGTCGCTTGGCCCATGCCCTCGCGAAGCACTTTGCCACCTGCGCCACATGGATATGCCAAGCTGAAAATCGGATGATTTTCCACAAACCTAGGAAGAGAAACTTGCAGTTGCCATATCCAGACTCCAATTAGCCAGCAAGACGTACCGAATTTGCTGATGTTCGTTCCCTTATGCATAGAATCTCCGATGCCATCTGCCTTTTCTGTTAGTCTTGTGAAAATTCAGCTGTGACAATATTTTACAAGATCCCCGCAACAAGGAGAGGCAGGCAACACGCAGAATGGCTGATCCTTTCTGACAGAGTGGCGGCATTGCTTGGTTTTCAGGTCCCCTGTGGACCAACACGGAACTTCAATTATGGGCCATATGGGGCTGCTTGACATACGACAGCCCGGCACTGTCTTGCCTCCAAACTTGCACTCTTCGCCATAAACCGTAAAATCCTGCACACATACTGCCGAGTCTTTGTCTGCACGCAGGCTCATGCTTCATATCAATCAGCTTGAGTGTCCTTCTCCACCTCCGCGATGAGGTTGGTGTCACCCAGCCGAACCTCACAGGCATTGCTCACAAAGATGGCGTCGCGCATGTGGTCTTACTCAGTCGCCCTACTTCAATGGTCTCTCACCTTGCCTTGTTCCCGGTGCCTTGTTCAGTCGGAAGGATTGTCGCAGCCCTGCAAGCATGCTAGTGCCCCCTAGTTAACACGGGCCTTGTCGCCACTCGTGGGGCCGAAGAGCTCCGCATAGCGGTCCCGCGCTAGGACCTCAACACACGCTCCCTTCATGTTTAGAGTGACCCAAGAAGGTTGGCATGCACGGAAAGTGGTAGCGTGAGCTTGTTGGTCAACAATGCAGTGCTCTGTGTCTCTGTGTGTGCCTTGTCTACATAGCGCTTGCCAAGTTCCTTCCTTTGAGGATGGCTTCCAGTCACACGAGCGACTAATTCAGCACCCTTCCCATGGGTGCTTCTTCCGCCACTGTCGAAATCCATTGCAGGGAGGTTGTCTCAACATATTCTCCGCAAGGCTCACCGAGGCCACCAAGGGACTGGCCAATGGCTTCCCAGGCGCACCGCTTGCCGCCTGCGCAAGCGGGCTTACCCACAAAAGTTCAGGAACAAGAAACGACGAGGAAAGAGACTAAGAGCAAAAGCAAGTCAAGAGAGGAACAGACTAAAATCTGTGGTCTGGATGTCCCTGCGCCTTGTGTCCGAAGCCTCCCTCTTGCACCCTCTGCATCACTTCAGGCAGCCGCTCTGGACCTTGCAGCCCGTGCTCGTGACTCTGTAATTTGCGCGCAAAGAAGCAAACGCTCGCCTCAAGCAGGTGATGCAACAAGCACTTCCGGATCATGCCCTCTCCCTCGGCAAACTGGGCCGACTGCTCGCCACGCCATTCACAAGACGGTTGCCGGAGACCTGTGAGTTCAGGGGTTGAGTGCACATATCATTGAAGTTGTGAATGTGCAGGACAAAAACTTCCACCTGCATCCCTTGCATCCATTTGTGCCTTTAGGGATTCGAAGACCACGGACATTTACCAGGTCTGGGTGCCCTGCCACGCGCTTCTTCCCAGCAATCTCCACCAGCGTCACCACCTGCCGCGTGAAGAAATCAGGCACCTCAAGAGCCAGCTCTAACAGAATAACAGAGTCTCAGAGACTCCAACAATGTATAACAGTCTTATTAGACTCTAGCAGACTCTTACAGACTGCAAGATGCAAACAGGGAAATGAGAGACTTTTGATTTTACAGTCTCCGAAGTCTATTCTTTCGTGCCGGCCTTGGAATCCCCCGGCTCAAAGCGCACCGCCGAGCCGCTGGGCACGTTGAGGCGGCGGCCGTAGGCCTTGCGGATTGGGACAGTGACACAGGCCAGAGGCCAGCGTAGGATGGGCTTCGAAACTTGCCAGGGTTGACATCAACCTTAAGAGCCCGAGATGAGTCATATGAGTCGGATGAGATCGCCAGCTCATGCCTTCTCGCGGTCAAAGACCAAAGCTTTGTTGGTCTCAATGAAGTGGTAGTGCGAACCCACCTGCGAGCAACTCTCATATCGGGAGCGCCCAAAACAGTCCGCGCGCACTCTGATCTCAAGAGCTCAAGGACTGCGCCTGGATGGGTCGGTCCCCGGTGTTGGTCACCTCCAGCTCTAACAGCGACCTTCCCGCGTTCAGCTCCACACCCTGGCGTGTTCAGCTCCCGTCAAACACGCTCCGGCGATGGGAGATTGCTCTTTAAACATGGCCGGAGCCACGGGCTGATTGGTTTCAACCAGCCATCTTACAAACGTGGGGAATTTGAGGGATGCAGCAAATCGCCCCACCACTTCAACAACGAATCAACCTGGCCTCTGCTTCTGCGGGTGTAAGTTTGCCAGGAGCCTGCCCAGCAAAGCCGAACGCTGAGATATGCACATCTCGTGAGGCCGACTTCCAAGAAAATACAACCAGAACAATCTCGCAACAACTGAAAAGGCAAATCTGAACAGCCTCATCTTCTTCCAACTCTCCGAAGGAAGACAAGTCCGGTTCCGGCAGAAAGGAGCCTCAAACAGCGGCGTCTTTGGGTCTTGTCTTGCCAGTCTGACTCTGATCACACTGATGAAAGGTATTACAATCCAATGGACTTGACTGGACATGCGAGAAAAAGAGTCTTTAAAGGCCTAGCTGTCATGGCAAGCCGGAGACAAAACAAATACAGCAGGGAAGCTTGGTCAAGCTTTGCAGGTCCTTCTCTGGGTGGTTGAGCGAGTTTGCTACCGGGCCAGAAAATCCATTACTCTCACCACATCTGTTGGCTGCTACATCACGCACGAAACCTGACAAGCCAACAATAGCATATGTTTCATCCAGGACTTGGCACGCTCTAAGCAGCGGCTCGCTTTTATCCGAATGGATGCCCGGTGTCTCTGCCACCTTGATGGGCCGGAGCACCAACCAATCTAATGACACAGGCCCTGTCAGGTTGACTGGCCATGATCTCAGACCATGGGTCAAGGGCGCTCCTAGTAACTTGGGAGCTGCCAAGACCGCGGCAACCCGCCCGACGCCAAATGAAGCCTTGCGGCTTTGGAAGATGAAGTCGACGCAAACAAAGAGGCTGACACCCCAGCTTGCGTGGTCTTAGCACCAAGCTTAGCACCAAGGGTTTGGATCTGTGCCCTGAGTGCAACGCGTGATCCCTGTGTTCTCACTGGCTTCAAACCCCAGCGATTTCCAAAGGCCTTGCGGCCTTCGGCCGCCCTGCACCCCCAGCCTCACGCTACAGTTGACATGGGTCGCATGGCGGCCGATCTTAAGACAAATATGCGTGCGGCCAAAATCAAAGCCGCAGAATAACACAGTTCGCCACTAGCTTGGAAAAGAGCCGATGATCCACAGGCAAATCTATGCGTTGGATCTGCAGGACGGCAGTACATTGCGGGAAAGGCAATGCTGCAAGGACGCGGCAACGCGCCCTTGTGCATTGAAGTTGCTAGAAAATTGCCGCCCCATCAGCTCAAGCTAACATTTCCAAATTGCTGGATAAGCACCGCTTGGACAGTTTCGAGGCACTAAAAGATCCTACTCTTGCAGCGTAACCTGAATCGGAGCGCCAAAGATTTGCAAAATCCAACACTATGATGCACAGGCCGCAAACTGCGGAATAGCTTGTTGTGCCAAGTTCTGTCCAAGTCGGGTCTTCGCCAGTGTTCAATTGAAATCAATCCGGCCAGCGCAAAGACCCGTTCCTTTGTTTCAAAGCGAGGCTTAGGCTGGCCCCAGGTGCGGGTGCTCCAAGCACACGTGATGGTCTGCCGTCCCTGTAATGAGAAGCCCTGCAGGTCAAGGGCCCCAGGGCGCTGCAAGGGCAGCTTCACTTCATTGGTTTCCTCTGGCAGCCTGACTCAGCCAAGGCTGACGAAGAGCACTGTGAATTCATCACGTGGGATGCATGAAGATTGCCTTTATCGGGGAATGCATTTGCCAGATTCCCGAACGGCATCCGTTGGCAAAGCCATTGAAATGGTATGCCTGTGCCTCTTACTTCTCCTGACCGCTTGCGTGGCAAATGTTCACAGTACAGTCAGGGTAAAAGCAAGAGTCCTGAATGCGCTCAGCCTCTGAAACAATCGCAAGGAGTGACAGACCCAACTGCTTCAAACAGTCCCTTGGAAAGCCTGGACCTGTACACGCCTCTCTCGCGACATAATCGACGCACCTTTTTGAAACATGACTTCGCCGGCGGAGCTCAAAGACCTTCTGGCCGTGCCCAGACCGGAATTTGTGGACGGCATGCTTGGCCGCGAATTTTCAAACGTGGTACGGCCACTCATGGGAAGACCGCCAAGGGGAATCCAAGTTGAGGTCAGCACACAGCGTCCAACGGACTAAAACTACTCAAAAATATTATGTGCCAAAAGCCATGTCCTTGCAAACAAATGCATCATCCCTTGGCAGTGAGCACAAGCTGCCACGAAAAATGACTTCTGAACAAAGACAAGGGCAGCGTCCCATTGAAACCGATCCTGCAGGAGTGCAATTCTAACAGCAGCATGCCACAACTTGCAGTGACTGGGCCAGTATCTGCAGATTGCTTTGTCATATTTCTTCTCACTCTCTCGCTCTCCCTCTCTCTCTCTTTCTGTCTCTCTCTCTCCCTCTCTCTTTCCAGCTCCTACGATCTCGTCGTAGTATCAGTCCGGACGCTCGGATAAACGTCAAGGCCAAACTTTGGGCTCTCATCGTCATTCCTCGCGCTGTTTTCGCCTTGGCTGTGAATGCCGCTCACCTGTTGAAGAGGCCAAGGCCCTGGAAGCAATCACCAAAGTGGCCATTTTGTATCGAGGGAAGCGCTGCCAAGGGGCCGTCACTGAGATGGAAGTTTGCCGTTGCCCTGGAAACCTTGGTGGGCTGTCCGCCAAGTAAAACCCACAGCATGTGCTTAGCACGCCAGGAACCAGCCTCTTTTACCGGGCCATCTGCCGCAAAGGGCATGCTGTTTCCTTTGCCAACACAGGAGTAGGCTTGCGCGGGCAACAGGGGGGCAGTGGGGCGTGACTCACTTCTGCTCCCACACCCAATCTCCAATCTGCGCCCGCTTTTCGATTCACTTCCGCGCCTGCGCACGCGCTTCTGCGCACGCCTACCACGAAACGCGCGCGCGCTCATCACTACGCACCCACGCCAGCCAAATTGCAAACAAGCCCGCTCAAGCGCGCCCATTCAGCTCTGCACACACGCTAGCCAAATGGTCAGCTCAACGCTGCACACACGCCAGCCAAAGAGAAAGCACATCCGCTCAAGCGCACAAGCACACACGCTCGACTGCACACGCTCACTGCTGCATCCACGCCGGCCAACGATAAGCACACACGCTCGACAGCACACGCTCACAGCTGCATCATGCCGGCCGTCAAGCTTGTCCAGGAAATTGCGACAGTCCAAACAACAAAACTTCAGGGTTGTGGCTGTTTGAATTCAGCGAAACGACTCTAACAGGCATGCGAGTGAAACAAAGAAAAGCGAAACGGACCAAAGCGAGACAAAAGTTGGGTGCAAAAACGAGGCGAGTGCCAGGCAGTGATGCAGGGAGGCACGCAGGGAGGCACACAGGGAGGCAGCACTCGGGGGCCCATCTACAATATTGTCAGAGGCTGCTCAATTGGACCCTCTTAGTTGCCTCGACGAAGCACACAGTGGTAGCTTGTTCTTGGGTCTGTGCAGGCAATACTGCAAAGCCAGCGTCCCAGCAAATAAACGAGTCTATGCTGCAGATATCTGGATGGCACATTGAGGAGGACACTGAGCGGCTCAACTTGGGCGACACCAGGTCCACGTTTGACAACAACCGGGGCAGACCTCGGCCGGAACACTCAAGCATGGGGTGAAGTCAGAAAAACTTTGGCCTGTAAGTTGCCTGACACCTGTGTGTGTGTGTGTATTTGTGTGTGTGTGTGGTGTGTGGTGTGTGGTGTGTGGTGTGTGGTGTGTGGTGTGTGGTGTGTGTGTGTGTGTGTGTGTGTGTGTGTGTGTGTGTGTGTGTGTGTGTGTGGAGTGTGTGTGTGTGTGTGTGTGTGAGTGTGTGTGTGTGTGTGAGTGTGTGTTGTGTGTTGTGTGTGTGAGTGTGTGAGTGTGGTGTGTGTGTGTAGTGTGTGGTGTGTGTGGTGTGTGTGTTGTTGTGTGGTGTGAGTTTGGTGTGTGAAGTGTTGTGTGTGTGTTTGTGTGTGTGTTGTGTGTGAGTGTGTGGTGTAAGCGTGTTGTTTGTTGTGTGTGTGTGTTGTTGTGTGTGTGTGTGTGTGTGTGTTGTGTGAGTGTGTGTGTGTTGTTTTTTGTGTGTGTGTGTGTTGTTTGTGTGTGTGTGTGTGTGTGTGTGTGTGTGTGTGTTGTGTGTTGTGTGTGTGTGTGTGTGGGAGTTGTGTGTGTGAGCTAAGGGCTGGACGGTTAACCCAGGGAGGAAGCGGTCTGCCGGTAAGCCTCAAACGCAACTGTGTTCTGTTGAACATGTCCACGCTCCGGTGGCCTTGCCTCAACTCGTACTGAAAGGTGTGGTGACATCTTGGATGGCTCCAGGAATTGCTTGCTTCTGTGTGCTCGCCAAATCTCCGAAATTTTGGAACCGCCATCTCACAAGGTCCGACAAATCAAATAATCTATCGCGCGGCTTGCGTTCACTAACCTTTCTGCCGTAAACCGCGTCAAAATATCAGCAGGCCATGATGAGGATCTGGCACCGCATGCATCTAACGGGGTCCCTGGTGGGTTCACTAGTCGCATTGCAATCCCGGCAGCTCCCGGCAGAAGTCGTCAGCGAAGCTGCAGCAATTGTGCCGAAGCAAGTCATATTCGTGAGCTAGCCACCGGGACTTCATGACCTGCGAAACAAAAAGCTGGCAACCAGGCTGCTAGCCGCCAGGACAAAAGCAAGGAAGTACATGGACAAGTCATTCCAGTTCATTCTCCTCCTCTCTTTCTCCAGATGCAAGTGGGCCTTGCCTCCTCCACAATTTCCTCCACCTGCTGCACGGACTTCATAGTAACGCCTTGTGAGAGGCTCTGCCGGTAGACGTGAACCTCACATTGAGCCATTGCGGCTTGGTGCAGCATGCTCATCACAGAATCTCCATTGCCGTAACCCCCCCCCCCCACGAACCCCCCTCCCCAAACAAATACGGCCAAATAGCTTACCTGATTGTGTTTTTTCACCAAGACATGATGGTTCCATTTGCCTTTCTCCAACCTTTTCAGGAACCGCACATTTTGTTTATAGTTGCATGATTTTCCATCACTCTGTGGAACTGGGCAGTTGGAAGCCACTGCTGCGCTTGTTCGTGGAAGCAACGTACCAAACTTATTGCAAAATGATGCTGAAATAAGTGTAAAAAATGCCGGGCATTTGCAGAAGCTAAAGCTGAAATAAGGCCGAAAGAAGGCTGACAATAAGGCTAAAATAAGACCAAAATACCGCGAACATGCAAGGAGGGTGAATATGGCAAAATTAGAGTAACAATGCAAGGGAAGCGCTTAAGAGACTATCTCAAAAAAAAGAGGCCAACATAAGGCCGCA